GTGGAGGGAAGGGCGTCTGCCATTACCGAGGCAGTCCACCACTACGGAGGCAGTCTGCTATTACTGAGGTAGTCCACCATTACTGAGGCAGTCTGCCATTACTGAGGCAATTCACCATTACAGAGACAGTCTGCCATACTGAGGCAGACCGCCATTACCGAGGCAGTTCTATCTATACCTCTATAAACAAAACCACAAGGAATTTCACATGGCAGCTGGGCAGAGCCCATGGCAGTTCAGCAACGCCTCTGCTGGCAGACTGTAACTAGGATACCTCCTTGCTGGGCAGGGCATTTCTGAAAAAAGGCAGCAGCAGATCAGGAACTTACAAATAAAGCCCCAACTTCCTAGGACAGAGCACATGGGAAAAAAAGGCGGTTATGAGTTCCTCTGCAGTAGACTTAAACATACCTGCCCAGCAGCTCTGAACAGAACAATGGAGCTCACAGCTGAGCACTTGAGCTCCTCTTAGGGACAGACTGTCTCCTCAAGCAGCTCCCCAACCCCTGTATATCCAAAGAGATACCTCATAAAGGAGAGCTTAGGCTGACATTGGGTGAGTATCCTTCTGGGACAAAGATAACAGAAGGAGAAACTAGTAGCAACCCTTACTGCTCTGCAGCCGCTGCAGGTGATCTCCAGGCAAACAGGGTCTGGAGTGGACCTCCAGCAGTCCTACAGCAGAGGGGCCTGACTGTTAGAAGGAAAACTAATAAACAAAGAAATAACTTCATCATCAATGAAAAGGACATACACTCAGAGACCCCATCTGAAAGTCACCAACTACAAAGACCACAGGTAGATAAATCCACAAAGACGGGTAGAAACCAGTGCAAAAGGGATGAAAACACCCAAAACCAGAATGCCTCTCCTCCTCCAAGGGATCACAACTCCTCACCAGCAAGGGAACAAGGCTGGATGGAGAATGACTCTGATGAATTGACAGAAACGGGTTTCAGAAGGTGGGTAATAACAAACTTCTCTGAGCTAAAAGAACATGTTCTAACCCAGTGCAAAGAAACTAAGAACCTTGGAAAAAAGTTTGACGAAATGCTAACTAGAATAAACAGCTTAGAGAAGAATATAAATGAACTGATGGAGCTGAGGAACACAACACAAGAACTTCACAAAGCATATACAGGTTTCAGTAGCTGAATCGACCAAGCAGAAGAAAGGATATCAGTGATTGAAGATCAACTCAATGAAATAAAAGGAGAAGGCAAGATTAGAGAAAAAAGAGTGAGAAGAAATGAACAAAGCCTCCAAGAAATATGGGATTATGTGAAAAGACCTAATCCATGTTTGATAGGTGAACCTGAATGTGACAGAGAGAATGAATCTAAGCTGGAAAACACTCTTCAGGATATTATCCAGGAGAACTTCCCCAACCTAGCAAGGCAGGCCAATATTCAAGTCCCGGAAATACAGAGAACACCACAAAGATATTCCTCAAGAAGAGCAACCCCAAGGCACATAATTGTAAGATTCACCGGGGTTGAAATGAAGGAAAAAATGCTAAGGGCAGCCAGAGAGAAGGGTTGGGTTACCCACAAAGGGAAGCCCGTCAGACTCATAGCAGATCTCTTGGCAGAAACCCTACAAGCCAGAAGAGAGTGGGGGCCAATATTCAACGTCCTTAAAGAAAAGAACTTTCAACCCAGAATTTCATATCCAGCCAAACTGAGCTTCATAAGCGAAGGAGAAATAAAATACTTTACAAACAAGCAATTGCTCAGAGATTTCATCACCACCAGGTCTGCCTTACAAGAGCTCCTGAAAGAAGCACTAAACATAGAAACGATCAACCAGTGCCAGCCACTCCAAAAACATACCAAATTGTAAAGACCATTGACACAATGAAGAAAATGCATCAGCTAATGGGAAAAATATCCAGCTAGCATCAAAATGGCAGGATCAAATTCACACATAACAATATTAACCCTAAATGTAAATGGGCTAATGCCCCAATCAAAAGACACAGACTGGCAAAGCGGATAAAAAGTCAAAACCCATCAGTGTGCTGTATCCAGGAAACCATCTCACATGCAAGGATACACATAGGCTCAAAATAAAAGGATGGAGGAAGATTTACCAAACAAATGGAGAGAGAGAGAGAAAAAAGCAGGAGTTGCAATCCTAATCTCTGAAAAGATAGGCTTTAAACCAACAAAGATCAAAAGAGATAAAGAGGGGCATTACATAATGGTAAAAGGATCAATGCAACAAGAAGAGCTAACGATTCTAAATATATATACATCCAATACAGGAGCACCCAGATATATAAGGCAAGTTCTTAATGACCTACAAAGAGACTTAGACTCCCACACAATAATAGTGGGAGACTTTAACACTCCACTGTCAATATTAGACAGATCAACGAGACAGAAAATTAACAAGGGTATCTAGGACTTGAACTCAGATCTGGACCAAGCAAACCTAATAGACATTTACAGAACTCCCCACCCCAAATCCATAGAATATACATTCTTCTCAGCACCACATCACACCTTCTCTAAAACTGACCACATAATTGGAAGTAAGTCACTCTTCAACAAATGCAAAAGAACAGAAATCATAACAAACAGTCTCTCAGACCATAGTGCAATCAAGTTAGAACTCAGAATTCAGAAACTAACTCAGAACTGCACAACTTCATGGAAACTGAATAATTGGCTCTTGAATGTTGACTGGATAAACAATGAAATGAAGGCAGAAATAAAGATGTTCTTTGAAACCAACAAGAATGAAGACACAACATACCAGAATCTCTGAGATGCATTTAAAGCAGTATCTGGGGAAAATTTATAGCAATAAATGCCCACATGAGAAGCCAGGAATAGGCATAGGCATAGGCAAGGACTTCATGACTAAAACACCGAAAGCAATGGCAACAAAAGCCAAAATAGGCAAATGGGATCTAATTAAACTCCAGAGCTTTTGTACAGCAAAGGAAACAATTATTAGAGTGAAGTGGCCACCAACAGAATGGAAAAAAATTTTGCAGTCTACCCATCTGACAAGGGTTAATATCCAGAATCTACAAAGAACTAAAACAAATTTCCAAGAGAAAAACAAACCCATTGAAAAGTGGGCAAAGGATATGAACAGACACTTTTCAAAAGAAGACATACATGAGGCCAACAAATATATGAAAAAATGCTCATCATCACTGGTCATTAGAGAAATGCAAATCAAAACTACACTGAGATACCATCTCACGCCAGTTAGAATGGTGATCATTAAAAAATCTGGAGACAACAGATGCTGGAGAGGATGTGGAGAAATAGGAACACTTTTACACTGCTGGTGGGAGTGTAAATTAGTTCAACCATTGTGGAAGACAGTGTGGCGATTCCTCAAGGACTTAGACATAGAAATTCCATTTGACCCAGTAATTCCATTACTGGGTATATACCCAAAGGATTATAAATCATTCTTTTATAAAGACACATGCACACTTACGTTCATTGCAGCACTGTTTATAATAGCAAAGACCTGGAACCAACTCAAATGCCCATCGATGATAGACTGGACAGGGAAAATGTGGCACATATACATCATGGAATACTATGCAGCCATAAAAAAGGATGAGTTCGTGTCCTTTGTAGGGACATGGATGAACCTGGAAACGTCATTCTCAGCGAACTGACACGAGAACAGAAAATCAAACACCGCATGTTCTCACTCATAGGTGGGTGTTGAACAATGAGAACACATGGACACAGGGAGGGGAGCATCACTCAACAGGGTCTGTTGAGATGGACTAGGGAAGGGACAGCAGGGGGTAGGGAGTTGGGGAGGGACAGCATGGGGAGAAATGCCAGATACAGGTGATGGGGATGGAGGCAGCAAACCACATTGCCATGTATGTACCTAGGCAACAATCCTGCATGTTCTTCACATGTACCCCAGTACCTAAAGTGCAATAAAAATATACATAAATTTAAAAAATAAGAAAAAAATGATAGAATGAACTTTGGGAACTTGGGGGAGGAAAGTGGGAAGGGGGTGAGGTATAAAAGACTACAAATAGGGCACAGTATGGTGCTGGGTTGACGGGTGCGCCAAAATCTCCCAAATCACTGCTGGTGAACTTATGTAACCAAATACCTCCTGTACCCGAATAACCTATGAAAAAAAAAAAAAAAGCAATCTTTTCCAAAAGGAAGTCATATGTGATAGTCTTCCTATTTCCTTTATGTTTTCATTCTCTTCTTGTCTTTTGGATTAAAAGTATTTCTGTAAAGAAATTGGGAACAATTCTGAGGTCCAGGACCTTCTGTTATCAGCTTGGAGCATTGGGAGCCATTTCCACATAAGGCAAATATTTCTAAAGCACATTTTTAATTACTTAGTTATTTTTAACACCATCCAGGTTACCTTTCCTGAATGTAGCCAAATACATGATTTGAAGCCACCTGTCTGTTAATACTTTTATAGTGCAGGTGAGGTTCCAACCTGAAAAGCCAGTGCTTTCATCTGTGGGTTAATTCCTTTCTAAAATGCTTATTTGCTTTAGTTGATTTTTGAAAAATCTCTTTGCAGGAATTCTGGCAATACATTTTTTTCCTCCTTGTAGTTTTGGAACACTGCCGTTGAGTGAGAACAATCCCTATCATAACTCCTAGGACTGAATTACAGCCAAATTGAAATGATCTGTGCTTTGGAGAGGAGAATTGGCAAGGATGCACGGTCTATGGCTCGTGTGTTGTAAGATAATTGTAACCATGGCAGTGGTGTGTTTCCTATATTATGTTTCTACATTGAAGTGATGAGAGTCATCAGAGGGAAAAAAACCCACTTGTATGTTTCTAGTTGAATTTAAATCATTCCAACTTCATTATTAGAACATTAGAAGTAGCTGTTTCCTGTGGAATAGCCGGTTCAGTCATTTGCTTTATCTCATGTGCAAGTGGTTTCTGCCTGGGCCAGTAATATACTTTAATAAGGCAGGTTTCCAGGAAGATGTAGCCTAACAATGATAACTTTAAAATACCTAGATCAAAGAATATGAAAAGCTTGATAATGAGGAAGACCGCCTTTGCAGAAGTCGACAAATTTATGACGCCTACATCATGAAGGAGCTTCTCTCCTGCTCACATGTAAGTATTTCTTCTTCTTCGGTTACTGTAGTACCAATGAGTATGGAACCATGTTCACTGTTTCCAGAATGAAACTGAAACAGTAGAAAGGTGTTTAAAATTGAAAAAGCATGCCCAGAATGGAACCCATTTCTTCTACTTCGTCGTTTGTTTCCTGGGAATATTATGTTTAAAATTGAAAAAGGCATGCCCAGAGTGGAACCCATTTCTTCTACTTCGTCGTTTGTTTCCTGGGAATATTAGCACGACATGTGTTGCTTCATGTAAGTTTATTTTATCTCCAAAAGCTGATACTTTAACTGCAAAAACCAATGAAATAAAATTGCTAATTTAGATCAACTGAAGAAACGGTTAGTTACAATTCAAGACGTTCTAAAGAAATTAAGCCTTATTATTTTAAATTGCACTATACTTTAACAATTAAGGTAATCAGCTATTGAGAAATATAAATTTTAAATGGTCTCTTTGAATGAATAAGGTGGCTTGTAAACATTATGTTAATTTTGTTTGTTAATAGTTAATTGCACTATACTTTAACAATTAAGGTAATCAGCTATTGAGAAATATAAATTTTAAATGGTCTCTTTGAATGAATAAGGTGGCTTGTAAACATTATGTTAATTTTGTTTGTTAATAGTTAAATAGCAGTCGAAAGTTGTTTTTTTTTTTGCTTGTAAATCAGATAAACAATCTAATCTGGTCATTAGGAGAAACTAGGTTCCTAGGAAATTTCTCCACCAGAGTAACTGGAATAATTAGTAATGAAAATTTACCATGTGATGTCTCTACCTTAGGAATGTTTTCCGAAGGGTGGCCTGACGGTCCTGGCCTGCTCTATCAAACGCAGGAGCCACTAGCTGCATGTGGCAATTTACACTTCACTTTAAATTCACTAAAGTCACATGGGAGTAAAAATGTAATACCTCAGTTCCTCATGAGCCACATTTCCAGCGCTCAGTGGTTACATGGGCTAGTGGCTTTTGTACTGGATGGCACAGATACACAACACTCCCATTGTTGCAGAAAGTCCTGCTGGACAGTCCTGTTGGACAGCACTGCTCATGGTGATGGTATATTTTGGTGCTTCTGTATTCATTGTTTATTTACAGTTCTTGCTGACGTTTTCATAACTGTGGCATGCCCTGCTCTCTGTTCCTTGGACCCACCTGGCTTGGTGAAGGAATTTCTGGGCTAGGACTAATTGTTGCTACTCCATGCCTTGCTGCCTCACTAGGGAAGGACAGAGAATGCCCTTGGAGAATGCCAGATGTTCAGTGGGAAAGCCTCCGCAAATTTCGTTTTTATGTAGTTCAGCAATTTAGAGAGCGTTTATCCATATGATGGTATTTTTAAGCCTTTCTTCTTATTGTGCATTATTAAAGAAGACACAATTTGAAGTTCTGAGCAGGGAGGATATCATAGTAATTCTTTTATTTTTTTTGAGACAGAGTTTCGCTCTTGTCGCCCAGGCAGGAGTGCAATGGTGCAATCTCTGCTCACTGCAACCTCCGCCTCCCAGGTTCAAGTGATTCTCCTGCCTCAACCTCCCTCTGAGTGGCTGGGATTATAGGTGCGCCACCACGCCTGGCTAATTTTGCATTTTTAGTAGAGATGGGCTTTCTCCATGTTGGTCAGGCTGGTCTCGAACTCTTGACCTCAGGTGATCCACCCGCCTCAGCTTCCCAAAGTGGTGGGATTATAGACAGGAGCCATTGTTGCCTGGTCACCATTGTAATTTTTATTGTTGGAAGTGCCATTGTTTTTGCCCTAGTTCCCCTCTCTGCGGTTACAGTAAGACTTTCCTTAACTTAGAGCCTTTTACCACTATGGCTTGACTTTAGAATCCTGATATTAATTCTTAGGGGTTTTTTGTGTGTGTATTTTCTCTTGTATAGTGAAAGTCTTACATTTTTAGAACCCCATGTCAGTTTGTTGATGGATGTATGCATTTCGGGCCCAAGCAGTCCTCCCGATTCAGCCTCCAGAGTAGTTGGGACTACAGATGCACACCACCATGGCCGGCTCATTATTTTTATGGAGATGAGGTTCCACTATATTACCCAGGCTGATCTCCAACTTCTGGGCTCAAGTGATCCTCCCGCCTTGACCTCCCAAAGTGCTGAGATTACAGGCATGAGCCAGTGCACTCGGCCTGATAACAGGATTCTTTGCACTTTATCATCAGAGTGATCTTGAACCCTTCTGGAATTGTATAATGTCAAACCCTGCACTGGTCATTCTTCTGGGCATGTATCTAAGAACTGGACGCCCAGAGGAACAAGCATTTGCTGGGATTGCCTCTAAATACTCAGCAGATTTTAAAAGAATGTTAATATAATTACCATAGTTACTGTTTAGTAATTGCTGTGTTCAAGTCATCCGTCGTGATATCATATAACATACGCAGGTTTGTTACATTTTATTAAAATTTGTTATTTTTGACTTTTGATAGCCTTTCTCAAAGCAAGCTGTAGAACACGTGCAAAGTCACTTATCCAAGAAGCAAGTGACATCAACTCTTTTTCAGGTAAAATAAAATCATTCCGAAATACGTAGATAAACTTTGTTTAGCACTTGGCTGTGGTAACATTCTTTTTGCATGTGGGAATACACCAGAAGACTTGCTCTGTAAGACTGTGTTCTAATCGGGAGCTTTAATGGAACAGTTTGAGTTTATGATCGCTTGTCTTCTCCTTGCAAAGTGTGCTTCTACCAACATGCTTCACAAAGCCTTTTCTGAAAAAAGGCCACTAGAGCTTTGTAGTAACATTATGTTCTAGAAATCAGTCAAGATAAGACATCAGAGAAGAAAGTTTTTTCCCATTTGATATTCCAGCACCTGTGATGAGCAAAGACTCGACAAGATTTATTTTGTAGTGCCAGGCTGTTGATACTTGCTCTGATTATCCTCTACAGGAAATACGATTTATTTTTAAGATTCAGGAGCTAATGTTTGCGTGATCTTTGAGTCATGGGAAATTGTATTTTACCTTGGCTGGTCATGTCTTGAACACAATACAGTCATGTTTAGATGACGAGACTCGGAAAATCAGATTCACAACTAATAGGTCTATATTTGCCATTCTTTTTTTTTTTTTTTTTTTTTGAGACGGAGTTTCGCTCTTGTTACCCAGGCTGGAGTGCAATGGCGCGATCTCGGCTCACCGCAACCTCCGCCTCCTGGGTTCAGGCAATTCTCCTGCCTCAGCCTCCTGAGTAGCTGGGATTACAGGCATGCGCCACCATGCCCAGCTAATTTTTTGTATTTTTAGTAGAGACGGGGTTTCACCATGTTGACCAGGATGGTCTCAATCTCTTGACCTCGTGATCTACCCACCTCGGCCTGGGATTACAGGTGTGAACCACTGCACCCGGCCCTATAGTTGCCATTCTTTAGATGAAATGGTCTGACTTCCTCCCAAAAGCCTTTTCCATCCTGTGTTTTTTATAGAGGTGCCAGTGATTTACAAGGACAGTCAGATTCCCAAATGAATAAAGTGCTTTTTGTGTTTCTGTGAGTTACAAGAAATAGGAAAGAATGTCACTGAGTAATATAGTGCTTTTAATAGATGAAAATAATCACCTCATCTTTTTCCTGGTCATTTAAAGGGAGGTAAGCTGACTTTGGCATCCTATGGTAGTATTAATGCAAAATGGATTTGATTATTCAGCAGAGCAAATATTGATTTGACAGCACATTTAGATAGCAACAAATTGGGTGATACCTTTCTGTGATAGTAATTGATTAGATGGACTTTCATAAATGTCATAGCTGTCTGGATAGTAGTGGGCTATAAGCTTGGGTTATAGGCTCTGAAATTCGTTGACGTGACCTGGGTTTGAATCCCAGGGCCATAGCTGGAGGACCTTGGGTAAGCTACACCTTCCTGACTTCAGTTTTCTCATCTGTAAGGTGGAGATGACCCTGTGCTCTCCCTCAAAGGGAGGTCTTGAGGATTCAGTGAGAAAGGGGCACATGGGTTGCTCTGCATGGGGCCGCCTCTCACTGTGCTCCACAAACATTACCTAGGATCACACGTCTTACAGTCAGAACGTACCATGTGAATATCTGCTTTTTGTTGTCTCCATGATATTTGAGTGTCAGAATTTCAGTTTTCATCTGACTTTGTCATGGTATATAGGCAGCCTTATACTCAATTACATTTAGCATTGCTAAACTATACCTCATAATACATGAGTTTTACAAATCTGGTTTTAGTTTCTACTATAACATAAATAACATCAAAAAAATTGTTCCAGTTGAGATACAGAGACCACTAGGATTCTTTTCATACTTTCAAAAGACTTTTATTTAGGAGCGATTTCTTTCATATAGCTTTAAAAAAACACTTTACTGATTTGTTCATTAAACAATTAGTGAAAATAATTTTCTGGCTAAATGGATATAGAATGGGTATTATTCTTGTTTCAGAGGTGAATAAAATATTATGAAGTTTATTAAAATAAAGAGTGTATCAGTACAATTCTGTCTCCCATACCTTCAGAGCATGATGTCTAAAGTATACACAGAAGTTATGTGTCTGAATGTCCTGTTAACAGAGGTACATTAACCAATGAAGTCAGTTGAAGTTCATAGTAAAACATAAATGTTCTTAAAGTAAATACAAATTATTTTTATTAAATTCTTTTCATTGTAAGATTGCCTTTAGAGATAAGTAAGTACATAGGTCCTTTGGCGGCAGGCTTGGGAGGGGCCATGGCTTGTGCATGGTTGCCTAAGATGCACTGGGTCCTGAGCTCAGCTCTCAGCGTTCCTAATCTTGTCAAATTCTCACTGACAGCCTGGCAACCTTAGATAGTATCTGTAAAGATAGTATCTGTAAAGATACGACTGTCTCCTTTACAGATTAAGGACTCTGAGGCTCAGAAGGGAAGGAGTCTGCTCCTGATCCCACTCTCGCACTCTGGCTTTCATACTCCTTAGCAAGCCCGTCGTGGTTCCCTCTGTGGAAAAGTGGTAGCGTGGTATATGTAGTCTTAGGAATTCCCAGTGACACTCGTCTTTTACTTCATTAGCAGAAAGTACGGATGTTTGATCAAGTATGAAAGAAAAATAAGAATTGACACAATAGTTTTTATAAATAGAAAAATCTGTGATATATAAATGTAGCCTTTTCTTAGATCTTTGAACATGTGAACTATTTCATCTCTTGAACCTCTGGAGGCTTGTTGAGGACTTGGCTAAGAGATGTTGTGTGTTTCCTGGAATCATAGGATTTCAGAGCTGGAGAGAACTTCAGAGAGAGATAGTGTAGCTTCCTCTTTCACCACGAAGGGGACAAAGTCCATATGGATTTCGCAACTAGCTCTAGTGCCTTCCCCAGGACAGGGAGAGCTCTGCAAGCTGGCATAGACTGGCTCACGCCCCACCACCGGTTGCCCGCCAGGCTAGCATCCTTTCTGCTTGCAGGAAGCAAGGCTCCTCGAAGGACTGCAGCTGCCTCCCAGCCCATGTTTGCTTCCTGTGGCTTCTGCAGACTTCCTATTCTCGTCGCTTGGTTTGTACTGTTCCATGATGTAGTTATTTATTTATTTATTTTTTGTAAACTTTCAGGATGGTCTGTGAAGACATTAAAAAGGTTAAATTTGGATAATTCAATGAGCTGAGGGTCCCAAAATGTTTCCCAAAACTAACTGATTGACTCTGGGCTGACCCATGACATATTGACACTTTATATTTTTATATTTCTTGATTTGAAAAGTTCATCACATGGAAAGCTGATGCTGTTTATTCAGTAATGGGTAAAGTGGCATGAAGTTGAATAGATGGTAGTTGTTCTCCATGAGGGGAAGAGTGCGGTGCATGTGAACCAGGAGCCGTTAGCCCCAGTTCAGCCATGGACCTTCTCAGGGACCTTGGGAGTGCAGCTGCCTGCAGTCCAGGAGGTGTACATGCAAGATGAGGTGTGGGATCGCATCGTCTCTCCCCTGTGGTTACCTCTATGACTCTAAGAGATAGAAAATCAAGAAATAAAACAGCTAATGAAAAAAAAACTAAGTCCATGGATCTATTAGCTTTGAGTTTAAAAAACCTCAATGCAGATGCTTTTACTAGCTTACCAGATGTACCACATAACTTGTGGGGCCCAGTGCCACGTGAAAATGCAGTTTTCCTCGTACAGAAGTGATTAAGAATTTCAAAATGGCAACAACAGAGCTTTAAACCCAGCACCAGGCTTTTCTGAGTCACGCCTCCCATGAAGCGAGCTCTGCTCATGTAAGAAGTGTTTGTGACTTGCCAGGAGTCATATTAGGTAGTAGGAATACAGTGGCAAACAGGGCAGACCTCTGTCTTCGTAGCATCAAGTGGTGTAGATAAATATTGAGGACTCCATTAGTGAGAGTTAGACAAGCACAGAGAAGGGCAGGTACCAGGCGCGATGCCATGGGGAGTGCATAATTGGGAATTTCTCTTAACCTGAGTCTCATTGGTTTGCGTTTTTTTGATACGTTCTGATTCATTCAGTGTGGAATTTTTTTTCCATCTCTTCTAGCCATACATAGAAGAAATTTGTGAAAGCCTTCGAGGTGACATTTTTCAAAAATTTATGGAAAGGTATGAAACTTTATGCCTACATATACAAGTTTTCACTGTGTCTGCGTACCTCATTTTATGCCGTAAATGCTGTCCCTAAAATGTGTGTTAGTTATTCAGCAAATATTCACTGCCTGTGTACAGTGTGCCAGGTTTTGTATTAAACTGTTTCCTCAGTACTTTACATTGTAATTTTGGGGTTTGTCTATCTTAACATCTCTTTGATCTTCAATTTCTTAGCTTCAATATGATGTAAAGTATAAATACAATGAGGAACCTCAATTTTTAAAAAGTGTCTTATTGGGAGACCTTTGCTAATAATACAAACCTGACTGTAATTTATGCAACTCATTTGCTTGCATTTCGGAATCATGTCTCCCAAAGTATCAAGTTCAAGGGCAAGCCTGAACTTGATTCCTTATGTAGTAATAGAATTTAAGGACATAGGTCAATGTCTGTTTATGATCGTATACATCATTAAACACCTAATAAATATGCCCCTTGATTACTCAGACTATAGAACATGTTTATCATATAATATTCTGTAGTTTTTTTTAATGACATGTATAAAAATGTCCAGTTCATATGCTTTTCAGGTACCTACTGGTCAGTCCTTCAGTTTTTTGAGTGTGTCTCTGTGACAGTGCACCACTGAAATCGGACCTTGTAAAACAGAACCTGCATTGATGCTGGCTTGACTTTATCGGCTTGGCTAATTTCTAGACAATATGCATGATGGTTATATCTCATGCTGGAGCTTTCAGCAGCTGCTCCGTAATTGCACTTGAAGAACAAACACTACTATAGTTTCCTTCTCTATGTACTCAGAGAACTAAAGCGATTAAAAAGAAAGTTGTGACTGGGTGCGGTGGCTCACGCCTATAATCCCAGCACTTTGGGAGGCCGAGGAGGGTGGATCACGAGGTCAAGAGATAGAGACCATCCTGGTCAACAAGGTGAAACACCGTCTCTACTAAAAATACAAAAATTAGTTGGGCATGGTAGCACATGCCTGTAGTCCCAGCTACTCGGGAGGCTTAGGCAGGAGAATTGCTTGAACCCAGAAGGCGGAGGTTGCGGTGAGCCAAGATCGCGCCATTGCACTCCAGCCTGGGTAACAAGAGCGAAACTCCGTCTCAAAAAAAAAAAGAAAATTGTGTTGCAATTCTCCTGGAGTCCAAGAGATAATTTTATCCTGGAGTAGAGTCAATATATTGGGAAACTAATATTCATACAAACGACTGCATGCTTCTGAGTAGTAGCAGAAACTTTGCCAAAAAGCACCAGCATCAAACAGGGAGGGTAGGCTGCTGGCTGAGGGCTGAGGACTGAGTGGAAGCCAAGTCCTGGGCCATCTCCGTGGCTGTTGGTTGTAAAATCTGACCTTTCCCAACTTTTGGGTAAACCCAAGTTTTGCGTGATCCTCAGGGGAGAAGGGAGAGAGGGGGATGGTAATTAAAAGTGGGGAAGAGGTTCTCCCATGGATATTTTATAATTTTGCCATGCATCCTTTCACTTGGAATCACAGACAGGGTGATTTTCGCTCATTGAGCCGGTCATTTTATATCCTCACAGTAAATGCAAATGATGCTGTTTGCCTCATTTAAATAAATTATTTTTAAAGTTGATTTGTTAATTTTTATCAAATTAGAAAACAAAATTCATATCAGGAGATAAGTTTGGAGCTTTGATTTTGAAAAGCACAGGGACCCTGTCCATACGGTCATGTAGCCTTTGACCTCATCGGGACTGGGCACATGAAAGGCCTCACGGAAAAGGCGATGTTTCCCTGGCCACCCTGAGTGGAATGTCTCCCCACCTTCCCTGAGGTCCAGGCAGGGCTGTGGCACTGAGTTCCAGGTGAGGCCGAATTGGAGAGGGCAGTGGAGGCTTTCCGTCTTCTAGTTGAGAGCTATGAGCCTCATTCAGGCAGTGAAGTTCAGTTGCTCAGCAGGACAACACTGAGTCAGGAATCAGAGTTAAAAACACTGATTCTGCCCCACCTTTACTGCCTACCAGGCATTTCTGTATCTTTCACCTCTGATGTTCTCTCTGAGAGCCTTTTAAGTCATCTGCAAGGGCTCTGGCTGCCTGAAGCCCTTAATTGTCCAGCTCTTTCCTTTGCCACAATTCCCCTCCTGTCAAAAGTGTCCCAGTCAGTAACCAGGCATTGATTGGGAATAGCACTCAAATAACCCCCATGGAGACAGGACTGACGGAGCCTAGGTACTCAGGGCCATCTGTACTTCCTAAAGAGGAACTTGTTACAGTAAATCCATTCTTAGTGGGCAAAATATGTGGGCACTTCCCTCTTGCTTGTTAACCCCCCTCAGCTAGTTGTAAAATATGTCAGATCACCATCCCCCGTCACCAGCTCTGGACTCCAGAATCTGTAAGAAGAGAAAGTGTGAGCTAGCCCAAGAAACCAAGTGCATGTCGAAGAGCAGTCCTAGATTTGTAAATGCAGAGTGCACCCAGATATGGTTTTGCCTTTTCATTGCACCATGCTTTTAAAAAATAGGTTGAAATAACTCTTAGGAACTCTCAAAATACAATTTTAATTTACTAACTTCATTAGACACGTCAGGAGGATCAGTGAAGAACTCTTTGTGAGTCATTTTGGATTCACTGAAAATAAAGATGCTGTTGTAATTGCAACTGTTCCTCTGCTTTTGATTTTTTTTTTTTTTTTGAGACGGTGTCTCAGTCAGTCGCCAGGCTGGAGTGCAGTGGCACGATCTCAGCTCACTGCAACCTCTGCCGCCTGGGTTCAAGTGATTCTCCTGCCTCAGCCTCCCATGCTTTTGAGTTTTAATTTGATTATTAGCCCCAGTAATATTTGTTAAAGATCCTTATTTTTAAAAGGTCTGTTGGTCAGGAACGGTGGCTTGCACCTGTAGTCCTAGGACTTTGAGAGGCTGAGGCAGCAGGATCTCTCCAGGCTAGGACTTCAAGACCAGCCTGTGCAACATAGCAACGCCCAGTATCTACAAAACTAAAAAATAATAGCAAGTGCAATGGTGTGTACCGGTAGTGCTGGCTGCTTGGGAGCCTGAGTGGGAGGATAACTTGGGCCTAGGAATCGAGGGTTGTAGTGAGCTAGGATTACACCACTGCACTCCAGCCTGGGCAAGAGTGAGACTTCGTCTCAAAAAAAACAAATAAATAAAAATAAAAGGGTTACCATAGCATATGACAACTAAAGAGGAAACGTGAAATCTTTCATTTGAATCATGAAGTGAAGCCATGAATCCTGGTGAACTCTCTGTGTAAAAAGCTTTGAGGAACGTACTTTATTTGAGAAGCAATCCAAGTACTGTTGGTCTAGTCTGCTTACAGTGTTTTGTAAATCCAGTGAATTAAATATTTAACTTCTTAGTAATTATTTTATTCTCTTTTAGTGACAAGTTCACTAGATTTTGTCAGTGGAAAAACGTTGAATTGAATATCCATGTGAGTATCATCTTTTTCTTTTTTTAAATCAAAACTTCCTCTGGCTTAACTTCATGAGAAAATACTTTATTCTGGAACATACTCCCAGAGGGTACACTGCCCACACAGATGTCTGCCTTACAGCTGTAAATACTAAGCATCACCCTCCACGCTTCGTTATAAACAGCTGGGGCTTTAGTTCTTTTTCATATTCATATGGCAGTGTGTTTATGTAAGAAAGGATATTTTAAGCAGTAATTGACTCTTTAACAAAAATAGTAGTAAAAATACAAATCTTTTACTTAATATAACTCCTTCATGTCCTTGCCTTCTGCCATTCTTATAAAGTTCCTTTTCTTTTTCTTATTAGTAGATGTGATAATACAAATTGGGTGTAGTAATACAAATGATGACATCTTTTATCATACCAAGGCTTTGTCTTCTTTTTTTATCATTTCAAGAGTGAATAAAAGCAATCTTCCGGGCCGGGCATGGTGGCTCACGCCTGTAATCCCAACACTTTGGGAGGCCGAGGCGGGTGGATCATGAGGTCAAGAGATCGAGACCATCCTGGTCAACATGGTGAAACCCTGTCTCTACTAAAAATACAAAAAAAAAAAAAAAAAAAAAAACTAGCTGGGCACGGTGGCATGTGCCTGTAATCCCAGCTACTCGGGAGGCTGAGGCAGGAGAATTGCCTGAACCCAGGAGGCGGAGGTTGTGGTGAGCCGAGATTGTGCCATTGCACTCCAGCCTGGGTAACAAGAGCGAAACTCCGTCTCAAAAAAAAAAAAAAAAGCAGTCTTCCAATACAAGCCGTGTTCTAACACATCATCTTAGTGTTTCATCTTTAAGTTTTTATTTTCAGTAATTCTTATTACATCATCCTTATTTTAGTTTTAAAAGGCACACATTTCTTTGCACAGTCTTTCTAACCTTCTGTTTTACATTCTCTCTTCACATAGGCTTGCAATTGGGCAAAACCATCAACTGGATTTATTTATTTATTTTTTAGATTTTTACTTGAATGTATTGTTGGAAGAGGAGTTTTTTTTTTTTTTTTTAATACTTGATCTTCACTAAAAGGCCAAGAAATGATCTTTATTATTATTATTTTTTAATTTTTAACCTCCTTTTCTTAGAAGCAAGAGGCAATAACACATGCTCTAAAAATTCTTTACATCTGCTCTGGGTCTTTCGTACACTTTTGCCTCAGCAGAGACCTTGTGCCCTTGTGGACTCTGAGAATCAAAACATGAGGGCTGTGGCCCAAATGCGGGTTTCTCTATGATATTTTAAGGTTGTTTGGGGGATCCCTTAAAGAATTGCACCCTTAATTTGCCAGGATATGTACAGTAGTAGGTATTTGTCTCTCACGTAAAATGTCAGATTCACTGTCTGTCTTTGTACCATTGAACACTATTAAATCTGACGATGAAATGGGGCCTCACTGAGTTATTATTGACTAAGGGAAAGTGTTTATGAATATGGCCTCTGTATGTACTTCACTCACATTTAGCCTCGTTTCATGCTCACATGGCCAACATGAGTCCTCTCTATTCACTGATGTTACCAATAACAAATTCACACGGCCTTCATCTGTTGGTTTCCAGATCATATGGCCTCGTATTAGGAACATGTAGCTGCTCCTGACATGGACTCTGATTTTTCGACTCTTGACAGTTCGTGGAAGCATTGGATAGTACCCAAACATGACGCTTTGGAGTAGCTGAGGCTGCTTTTCATTTTGATCAGACATTTCACATTCGCTTGTCTTCAAGGTCTGCACACTGCAATCTGGGATTTGTGAGAGTGCAGAAACAGTTCGGCATAGTTGGTTCCACTCCACATATTCCCTTGTGCCTCCATTTGGTGCCTCATGTACCCAGGAGGTGGAGCTGAGGGAGGCTGTTGAAAGTCTTGCCACCCCAGGGCATCTCATCCTTCACCTTACATAATCAGTCATGAAAAGGGTAGATCCCTAAGTCAGATTGCTATTTTAATTACTGTCTATGTTTTGCATGAAAAAAATCTTTCTAACACCATAGTTTCATGTAATCTTATGTTTTCATTTTGTGTCTGGATTTCCCAGTTGACCATGAATGAGTTCAGCGTGCATAGGATTATTGGACGAGGAGGATTCGGGGAAGTTTATGGTTGCAGGAAAGCAGACACTGGAAAAATGTAAGCCTTCAGCGCTCATGTGTTTTACCGGCACTGTTAAGATTTTAATATTTGCACTAAAAGAAAATTCCTGTAGGGCAATGTGGAAGCCTATGACATTTCTTTCGTGGTACTTTACCTCCAAAAGAAATAGGCTGTGTTTTGTGAAGGCCAAATGGGAAGTTAAACCATAATTTTGTATCATGTGCTCACCATGGTGTGGGTGTGGGTGTGGGTCCAGGGATCCAGAGGTGAATTAGAAGGGATTCTTGACAACCGTGGCATGCTACATTCAGCCTCCCCATCAGATTGTATGACAAAAAAATTGTTCACTTTGCAAAAGAGAAACATTCTCTTTTTTTTTTGAGACGGAGTTTCGCTCTTGTTACCCAGGCTGGAGTGCAATGGCGCGATCTTGGCTCACCGCAACCTCCGCCTCCTGGGTTCAGGCAATTCTTCTGCCTCAGCCTCCTGAGTAGCTGGGACTACAGGCGCATGCCACCATGCCCAGCTAATTTTTTGTATTTTTAGTAGAGACGGGGTTTCACCATGTTGACCAGGATGGTCTCGATCTCTTGACCTTGTGATCCACCCGCCTCGGCCTCCCAAAGTGCTGGGATTACAGGCGTGAGCCACCGCGCCCGGCCGGAAAAGTTCTTTCCCATTCTGTACTTGTACAGTAGACTTCGATCCTAAATGATACACTCTGCTCGTTGCTTGTCATAGTTCACTAATTTCTGCTAGTTTTGCTTCATCATTGTATTTAGAAAAATCTAGTCAGACACTTGATGTTATAGAAGAAAATAATATAAACTTATCTCTTTGTACACATTTACTATTTCTCATAACTCTCAAAAACAGCCAGTGCGTAGTAAATACTCTTCTATTTTATAGATCAAGTGTAGACACTTCTCAGGAGCCATACAGCTAGAAAGTGGTCAAGTCTTAAGGTCCATGAAGCCTGACTCATATCTGTTCTTGTCACCAGGCTGCCAGTTGCATGTGCACTGGCCCTGTGAGCCCATGAGTGAACTGCTACATGTACCCCTAGGAGCCTGTTTAGATAGCTCTTTCATGCCGTCTAAACAGAGGCCCAAGAATGCACTTGCTTCCCAGAGGCCCAAGGCCTGTGGTTATCATGTTTGGTCTGCAATTGAAAGGTTTTACTAAAAACCACGAGGTGTGGTGGCTCATGCCTGTAATCCCAGCTATTGAGGAGGCTGAAATAGGAGGATTGCTTGAGGACAGGAAGGCAACATAATGAGACTCTAATCTCTAAAAATAATATATTTTTAAATTAACTGGGTGAGATGGCAGGTGCCTGTAGTCCCAGCTATGCTCCAGCTACTCTGGAGACTGAGGTGGGAAGATTGTTTGAGCCCAGGAGTTTGAGGCTGTAATGAGGTATGATCTTGCCACTGCCCTCTAGCCTGAGCTACAGAATGAGACCCCATCTCTTAAGAAAAAAAGAAAAGAAACTCCACTGTGGAAAAGAGTGGTGATATAGGTAGTGTAAAACATTTTGAAAAGTCTTTTAAATAAAAATAAGATATTTAAAGAACACATCGCTTCCTGTGTTTTTAATATGGCATCCCATATGTAAGCAAATTAATGTCTTGTCAATTGATTTACTCTAAGAAATAGCAAAGTGGATAAAACACCACATTTGAACATTTATCTCTGTTTTTATATAACTTAAACATGATAAGTTATAATCAACAAGAAAATAGTAGATATTCTGTGTCCTATTATACTGAGACAGTGTCCATGCTGCATATATGGGCCAAAGGAAGCAGTCCATCAGCTGGGAATTTATAATCATACATAAGAACTTTCAGCCTGTGAAATGTGTGAAAACACTTGCAAGAATTCCCTTTTAGCCTCCTGTTGTCCTACCGAAAAAGCTTCCTGTTTTCAATAGACTGTGCCACCTAACTTGTCTATATTTTCTTACTACAAGTTTGTTCCAGGTTTTTGAAATTCTTAAATTGCCAATTGGTTCTCCTCAATTGACTTTCATCAATGATAGTAGAAAAATCTCATTGATTCTTTGTATTATTTAAAATGTCATAACTTAAATATCAAAATTAAACATAAATCAATAAAATAGCATTTGGGGACATGCTGTTTTGAATCCATGCCTTCCCTTTCCATTTTGTTGATCATCACAGTTTTAGATTCTTCACCTCTGCAAACTCTTATAAAAATTGACCGCTGCTGAATTCACAATTCCTAGCTGCTAAATATATACATATGCCCCCATTATCCGTCATAATAACATTTATTTATATCCATCTACTTTATCATTTATTTAACTGGGACTCCATCAAATGATACAAATATCTTAAGTATTGCTTGATTTTGTTTTCACAATACATGCAAAATGAAAACATTGCTTGCATGGTGCTTGGGTACGACTCTGCTTCTTTTACATGTGGCCTAAAGGTTTAGAAACCTCCCCCAGTACGACATATATTGTTTAAACTAGTCTAGATATATTTATGGCCTAGGTTTTTCAATCAATTTATGTTTCCAGGTATGCGATGAAATGCTTAGATAAGAAGAGGATCAAAATGAAACAAGGGGAAACATTAGCCTTAAATGAAAGAATCATGTTGTCTCTTGTCAGCACAGGAGTAAGTATTCAGTTTCCAGCATTTCTTTTAAAAATGTTGTTTGTTTGTTTTATAGTAGGATGATTTGTTATGTTTTCTTCTAGCCGATGACGAGGCCAGCGAGTTCTTGGGCGGGTTGGAATCTGATAGTACCTCTTCATTTGATTTTGCAAGTTAGAAGAACACCAGCAACCTCCATTATGCACACCCATGGCTTCCCCCTTTCAGTGCCCATTTATTTGTCCTTGACTTCCTTCTTTGCAGTATGTGGTAGTGGAGATGGCAGAAAGTAATTATAACAACAGCAAAAAAAATCACTGGAATATAGTCAAGAATGGATTAAACAACTGACAAGAGGGACTAGCCTAGAGAGGAAAAGTAAGAGAAAAGTAGCTTCGGTCCAGAAGCAAAGAGAGAGGAAGCGACTTGGATTAGTCACATCTGAATTGTGATGATCCCTAGTCAGGGTTTCGCTGGAAGGTGACCTTACCTGCCTCTCACTACCTGCTACTGTTTATCAGCCTTTCCATTTCCAGCACCATATTTCTGCTCATTGGACACTTTCTTTGTGTATTAAGCTATCATTTTTCACTCAACATGTGTGACACCACTTTTACCTTACATCTTCTTGACTTGCTAGCTGCCCATTCTGATTTCATTTATTCATTCATTCAGAGATAGTCTTGCTCTGTCACCAGACTGGAGTGCAGTGGTGCGATCTTGGCTCACTGCAACCTCCACCTCCCAGGTTCAAGCAATTTTCCTGCCTCAGCCTCCCAAGTAGCTGGGACTACAGGCGGGCACCATTACACCTGGCTAATTTTTTTATATTTAGTAAAGCTGGGGTTTCACCGTGTTGGCCAGGATGGTGTCGATCTCTTGACCTTGTGATCCACCCGCCTTGGCCTGATTTCTTTTTCTGTTATTGGTATTACCCAAGATGAAAACCTCAGCTTTTATTTATCTGTACAGATGTCAATGTATGTGAAGACACATCCAAAAAACCTGTCCTCCCAGAACCCTGTTCCTGCATGTATGCACTGGTACGGCTGTAACCTGGAGTTCAGAGTGGGCTAGGGAGTCAGGACAGAGAGGGAGAGGCATGGGGTGAGCATGGAGGGGCCAGACTCTGACTGTGTAGCCCACATATGAATGAAACTGTACATACTCCAGCCAGGAAGGTTTATATTCAGTGAGAGATGGGAGGGACATCCAGATCTCATGGCTGGATTCTAAAGGTCTTCACCAAAAGATTCTGAAAGAACCAAATTTTAGTGGCTAATGAAAGAATCCCTTTCAACTGCTAAGCAAGGAACCTGAGACCCAGAGAGGTTAATTTTCTTCCCCAAATGTCTAGACTTTTTGGCCAGTGCTCCTTTTATCATCACTTTATAGGCTGTATCTTTTTTCATTTGTCACCTATATTTATTGTAGTATGGTTTATATTATTCTATCGTTAGTTTAAGTGTTTCTAGAAGAGGTATTTGCTATTGAACCAAAAGAATAGCCTAATGTAGCCAAGTTGTAACAAATGGAGACTCCATAGCCAGAAATCACTTCTAATTATGTGCCCTGATCTCCCATTGAATGGGTATTAAGCACTTCAAATAAGAGTTGCTCTGGGGGCATGACCAAGTTTGTAACTGATTAGAATGGAAACCAAGCATCTCAATACTCTATGGGAATCAGCGTGAATGGCACTGGCTTCTAATTTCCATTGGAAATGTCTGTATCCTAAATTTCAAACATGGATGTGAGTACTGGATGAAGATTTTAAATGGTTATTAAAATACTAATTTTCAATGAGTTATCTCAAAGTTTTGGATATTTATTCTCAGGAAAGTCTATAGAAAAAAAATGTTTTGATGTCGGAGGAATGTAACTGTAGTTTTCATGTAGCATTTTTATATTGATTTGACTAGTAGTTTCTCACTGGTGTAACCCTAAGAGAGTAAATTTAAAAATTAGGGTTATTTTGGGCTCCCACTTGAAACTAGTTTAAAATAATTATTTGTATTTTATTCAAATATCAAAACTATGGTATTTTTTAAATTTATAAATGCATAATCGAACTAAAATAATTATAGTAAAGTTATTTGGAATTGATTTTGCTAACGAAGGGATACTTTCTATAGTTTTTAGTAAAATTTAGTTTAAAATCCTCTCATTAGGTAAAGCTTTTTAATCAGCCTGTATCGGCAGGGTTTCCTGTATTCCAGTTTTCTTTTTACTGGAAGTTTTTTTTTGGTTAATCTCAACTTGAGTATTCCTCCCCATGCCCCCAAAAGGTAGTAGGAAGTACTGTTCCTGGTTTTCTTCTGTAATTCTTAGATGGCAAAAGGAAATATGTGTGTTCCAGAATCAGCATAAGCGTGTCAGCAGCTGGGAAGAGCAGTCAGCAATTCATCCAGTCAATCATTTAGGTTCCCCAAAGTGTGACTCATTCATTCCTTGAACCACGTTGAGTGTCTAGGTTGAACCAGGCACTCTGCTGCCAGCCAGGGCTCCCAAAACCTGACTGTGGTCCCAGTTCTTAGTTCTTATAAAGCTGCATGGAAAGGGAAAGGATGATATTATTCAAATGATGATGGAAATGTATGGGCAACCGGGGCATGTGGCCAGAGCTATGGAAGACAGACAGGCACGTGGTGCTCGGAAGGCCTTTCACACGGTGGAGATGGGGTCAGCGAATACCCTTCTGAAGTTGGGGGTTACCTGGGGAGGAGCCAGTGCATATCTGAGCCCAGGCACATGATGTTGGGGGAATCACATGAGGGGCCAGGGTCTGCAGTGGTGGGAGGAGTAGGACAAGACAAAGCTGGAGAGAACATGACGGCCAGGCCAGACCGTGAAGGCCATCGCATGCTGATCTTGAGGAGCCTAACTGATCTGACTGTACTTAGAAACGAAGTGCTTTAACTAGAGAGCGACCATAATCAGCCTTGCTCCGACTGCAGTCTGGAGGATTTTCTTAAACAACGACTTCATGGTCCTATTTAATCACAGGTTTGTTTTTTTTTTTAATGGCAAGTTCCTGCAAAATGTAAGCTATTTTGTTGACTTTTGGTAGGACGTCAAAGAAGACAGTTCCTTGCTCAAGAGTTTTACTTAAGGGTATGCTTCTAAAAATCTACTTTTATTTACCACTGACTTGTAATCAAGGCAGGTCCTCTTATCTATAATTATCCTTGGAACTATATCCTACGATTCATTAAATTGCCACTTACGTTTTCATATTGGTCAGTATTCAGTTGTGTCCTAGACTCCACATGAAACCCATTATAGTGTCTGTTTAGCACCCCAAGAGATAAGGGTTGCAGTCACTGATTTCTGTAGAGATAATCAAATCTGATTCCTTCACCTGTGTGCTTTTTTGTACATTGAGTCATAGATAAATATAGCTGGACATTAGTTAAAGTGGTGAAAACAGCATTTATTTGGTAATGACTAGACAGTAAGAGAAATAGCAGAGCTCCATTCTGACTTCTGCAGAGGTGAGTGGATGTTTTATTTTTTTTTGAGACGGAGTTTCGCTCTTGTTACCCAGGCTGGAGTGCAATGGCGCGATCTCGGCTCACCGCAACGTCCGCCTCCTGGGTTCAGGCAATTCTCCTGCCTCAGCCTCCTGAGTAGCTGGGATTACAGGCACGCACCATCATGCCCAGCTAATTTTTTGTATTTTTAGTAGAGACGGGGTTTCACCATGTTGACCGGGATAGTCTCGATCTCTTGACCTCGTGATCCACCCACCTCAGCCTCCCAAAGTGCTGGGATAACAGAGTGGATGTTTTAAAGGGACAGAGGCCGGTGGGATGCACTGGGGGCTGGAGCAGAGTCAAAGAAATGAAGAATTTTGCAATGCAGATAGTGACATGGTCTATATGGGACCCATCTGGGTTTGCTAACTGGGACTTATCCAAGCTACACTCCTACCCTCCCATGGCGGCTGGGAGAGAGGGGCTCTATTTTTGAGTGTTGGCTAGAAAAAATAGTAAATTCTTTTTTTTAGATGAAGTCTCTCTCTGTTGCCTAGGCTGGAGCACAGTGGCACAATTTTGGCTCACAGCAACAACCTCTGCCTTCCAGATTCAAGTAGTTCTCTGCCTCAGTCTCCCAAGTAGCTGGGATTACAGGCACCTGCCACCACACCTGGCTAATTTTTATATTTTTAGTAGAGACAGGTTTCACTATCTTACCCAGTCTGGTCTTGAACTCCTGACCTCATGATCCACCTGCCTCGGCCTTAAAGTCCTGGTATTACAGGTGTGAGCTACCACGCCTAGCCAGAAACTATGTTAAGCATAATTGAGAGAGAACTCTGGAGAGGGTCAGGAGATTTGGGGTTTGAATCTTGGCTGGCTACCAAATTGCTTTGTGATCTCAAACAAGTCATTACCCATTTTGAGGGGGCCTTAGTTTCCTTGTCTTTAAAATAGAGGTCAGACCAGGCGATTTAGTTTTAAAGATACTTGGATAGCCTTGATCAGAGATCTAAAATTCATGTTCTGGCCAGGAGTGGTGGCTCACACCAGTAATCTCAGCACTTTGGGAGGCTGAGGCACGCAAATTGCTTGAGCTCGGGAATTCGAGACCAGCCTGTGTGACATGGTGAAACCCCATGTCTATTAAAAAAAAAAAATACAAAAATTAGCCGGGTGTGGTGGTATGTGCCTGTAGTCCCAGCTACTCGGGAGGCTGAGGCAGGAGAATCGCTTGAACCTGGGAGACAGGTTGCAGTGAGCCGAGATCACACTGCCGCACACCAGCCTGAGTAACAGAGGGGGACCTTGTCTCAAAATATATAATGAAAAATAAAAAATAAAGCTCATGTCGCATCTTAATAACATAATATCTTAAGGAGGCTTTATCCTTTTGCTGCTTTCTGAGGGTTATCATTAGAAGGATCATATACAGTCATGTTCAGAAATCCTCTTTGGAAGGGTCCACCTGCCCCTGGGGTGAAGCAGGTGCCGTTGCTGGCTCAAGCTGGGAAAGACCCTGGCTTTACCCACTTCAGGGTCTGCCTGCTTCTCTGCTCTGCAGATGACTTGCTCACCAGATCAGGAACAAGAATGTGTGGGGAGTCCCATAAAGGAAGGAGTGTGATATTTGGAGCAGAACAACCCAGCCACCCTCAGAAGGCTCATAGAGAGGTCTGGTGACATGTAGCTGGGTGGGTTCCAAGCAGGATGGAGCTTGGAACCAACTGGAAAGGCCACAAGGCTTTGATGGTAAAAGGATAGCACCTATTATTTTACTAATTTAGAGCAAAATAAATCTTGAAATCAGTAAATAATAATACCATCTCAACAAAACCCTAAGGAAAACTAACCACAAAATGAATTTTGTAATTCATCTTGGAGTAATTTTCTCCGGAAGATTTATGGAAATTGAATTCAAATTTATGAATCATTAGTATAGAAGAATTTTTTTTTTTTTGAGATGGAGTTTTGCTCTTGTTGCCCAGGCTGGAGTGCAGTGGCATGATCTCAGCTCACCACAACCTCTGCCTCCTGGGGATTCAAGCAATTCTCTTGCCTCAGCCTCCCAAGTCGCTGGGATTACAGGTGCCTGCCACCACACCCAGCTAATTTTTTGCATTTTTAGTAGAGGCAGGATTTTGCCATATTGGCCAGGCTGATCTTTAACTTCTGACCTCAGGTGTCCACCTGCTTTGGCCTCCCAAAGTGCTGGGATTACAGGTGCGTTAACTCAGAATTATCCATATATCTTAATAGGCTTTACCAGTGCAAATTCTGTTTACAGATTTGGTTGAAATTTGAACATTTTCTTTGGAACTTAATAAATTTTTGTGTTGGTTAAAAAAGAGAGGATATAGATCATCTAGGCCATTTTAAAAATGGAATCAGTTTAGTGACAAGTATACACTGTGTATAAGGAATCTAAGTGGATTTCATAGATAAAATAGATCTAAAGAGAGCTAATAGATCTAGCATAGCACTGATGAGCTTTCATAAGGGAATACACACATCACTGGCACCCAGATCAGGAGATGGAAAGTTACCAGTATTCTAGAAATCTCTTTATGTCCCTCTCAGCCACTAACCCCACGCCCAACTTAGCTACTGTCCAGATTTCTAACAGCGTAACGTAGCTTTGTGAATTGTGTTTGAACTTTATAAATGTGCTCTTTTGTGTCTGGCTTCCCTCACTCCATGCCACTTATGAGATTGATCTGTGGTGTTGCCCATGGCAGTAACTCCCTCCTGGAGCTGTGTGGCAGAGGTCAGAAAGGCCAGGTGTGGCTGGGGCCAGGGCTAGCTTGTTGGCTCTATTTTGTACAGCCCATGACCTAAGAATGGCTTTTACATTTTTAAAGGATTATAAAGAAAATAAGCAAAGAAGAATAGATGACAGAGACTGTTTGTGGCCAAAAAATTGGTAAATATTTACTCTTTAGCCCTTTGCAGAAAACATTTGCTGATCTATGCTCCTATAGTATTCTAGTGTATAAATATACCAAACTACGCTTAAGTTATCCATTCTATTGTTGGTAGACATTGGGGTTATTTCCTGACTTGTGCTCTGTTGAATGATGCTGTTTTGTACATTCTTGTGCAGGTATCTGGGTGCACATAAGTACAGATTGCTGTTAGGTGTCTACCTGGGAGTGAAATCACTGAGTCAGAAAGTTTGCAAGTGACACTCAGCCTTGGTAGATACCACCTAATGGGTTGCTAAAGTGGTTGCACCATTTACTGTTACACTTTCAGCGACCATATACGAAAATTCTATTCACTCTATATCTTCCCAACACTCAGTATCATCAGTGTTTTTCATTTTAGCTGTTCTCGTGGGTTTTAGGGATAGCATGTTGTAGTTTTAATTTGCATTACTTTGGAGACATCAAGGTTGAGCATCTGTTTGTTTGCTTGTGGGCTATTTGGTATCCTCTTACGTGAAGTGGCTTTTTTTTTTTTTTTTTGCCTTTTTTTTGTGGGGGTGGTTGGTTGACGTTTTTAAGTTGATTTTTTAAAAGTTCTTTATAGATTCTAGATATGAGTCCTTTGTGTATTTACTGGCTGTGTATATTTTCTCCCATCCTGTGGCTTGTCTTTTTACTGCCTTAACGGTATCCTCTGATGAACAGAAGTTCTTAATTTTATTTTAGTCTAATTTATTAACGTTTTTATTTTACTGCCATTTGTGACCTAAGAAATCTTTACTTACCCTAAGATCACGAAGATACTCTCTTTTGTTTTCTTCTGGAAGCTTTGTCATCTTATCTTTTACACTTAGATCTACATCAGTTGGAAGTGGCTTTAGTGTATGGTGTGAGGTAGGGGTCAAGGTTCATATTTTATTGTACAGATGTTCAGTTGCTCCAGCACCATTGATTTAATAGGCCATTCTTTCCACAGTCCCTGTAGTATCACCTTAATAACAAATCAAGTGACCATTTATGTTTGGGTCTATTTTGGATTCCCTTTTCCATTTCATTGGTTTACTTGTCTGTCCTTGGGCTAATACATTGTCTGAATACTGTTGCTTTCGAATAAATCTTAATATCTTGTCCTATACATTTTCCAGCTTTGTATTCAAGAATATTGGAACTTTTCTTGACTGTTTTCATTTACATATATTTTAGAGTCCAGCTTGTCAATTTTCATTTCAATTAAGGTTGCATGACATCAATAGATTAATTAGGGGAACACTGAAATCTTTACAATTGAGTTATTCAATCCTTGATCATGATAATAGTTTTCCACTTTCAAAAGCTAATTTAATTCCATTTTTATTCTTAATGTTTCAAAACAACACAAATAACATTTCCCCTATTCCATCAACTTCAGAGGCAGAGATTGAAATGGATATTTGAATAGCCAGAACCAAAATGTTGACCAGCAAAAAAGCTGGCAAGATAGTGATATGTTTCTGTATCTAGCATTTTGAAGAGAAGATAATTAGGATAGAGACATGATGGAATCCAAGTGAGAAAGGACCTTCAAGGTCATCTGTTCCAAATATTAATGTTGTGTCTCTATGCATTTTATTATGTAACCGGCTCCATTTTACTGTGACTTTTAAAATTACCATGTAGTTGTTGGTGCTCAATGCATGGGGTAGCGGTTTGAATAAAAACCCACAGCATGTATTGTATATTACAAAATAGGAAGAAGAGAGGCTTTTGAAGGTTGTCACCACAAAGAAATGGTAAATGTGTGAAGTGATGGCTACACTGACTACCCTGATTAGATCATTATATAACACAGATATGTGTCAAAACATCAAACTGTACACCATGAAGATGTATAATTGCAACATAGCAATTAAAAAATATATAGCATGGTGTTTGGTGATAGATGTGCTTTCTAGGCAGCTTGTGCTCTTCTTATAAACCTTTTTATTTTTTCACTCTAGGACTGTCCTTTCATTGTATGTATGACCTATGCCTTCCATACCCCAGATAAACTCTGCTTCATCCTGGATCTGATGAACGGTAAGCAAAACTTGGAAAGTCTGAATACCTTGAACGACTTTGCCATGATGTTAAATCTTAGCATGCATTAAATCTAGGCATACTGGCAATGTGGGTCTTTTAGGTAATTAGGTTCCCTCTGAAATTTGAAGAAATCTTTTACCCTTTAATCTTCAGTGAAAATTCATTTTTAAATTTTGACTGCGATGTCCTTCTGGGCCTCCCAGTTGCTTCCTAAGAAGTTGGATTTTCTAGAAAAGATTTCGTAAAATACTTACAGTGAAACTTGATTTTCTGGAATGCAGCTGGCCTAGATCTTTAATTAGCTATTTCCTGGCCCTCAACTTTTAGGAATGAAATACCTCATAAGAATATAGGCCAAAGATAGAAATGTATTTTAAAACCAACTTTGAAGGACTGACTTTGGGCCAAGTACAGATTTTAGCCTAGTCTTCTGCACCTTCTGAATCTGCAGTACTGTACATTGATCTTTTAAACTGTGGATGATGATTTTGAAAATGCTGGAAAACGTTCAGCTGGAAAAGCAGCTTTCTGATACTAGAAAGTGTCGTAGTATATATCTAAAGTATTTTTAGTAATAACTGAAATAAAAAGGCGTATAATTCACAACTCACATGCCTAGTTGTTTTTTTTTTAAGTTCACTTGAAGTTTTATTATGTTTTGAGTGTTTGATTTAAAATCAGATCTACCCCAAAACATGAAGGAATTTCAAAGACATAATAATGAGCAAAAGAAGCCAGACACAGCAGCATCCACCTTAGGCGACCCTGCTTATGTGACTGTCAAAACAGGCAAAACTAATGGATGGGGAGAGAGGGCTGAAGAGTGATCTTTGTGTGACTGGGGCTAGAGGATAAGGTCTTGACTGAAAGGGCATAGTGGTGGGTGAGGTTTTGGGAAGCTGGGCATCTTTTCCATCTTGATATGGTAGTGGTATAATAGAGAAATATGTGTATGGAGAGAGAAGTATGCTTGCAAAAGCAAGTGTAATAAAGTTGGACACCCCTGCTTGTTTTTATAAATCAATAGCGGTTTTTTCTCTGTGTTTTATTAAATCATTCCCTTACCCTGTTGATGGCATTCTCCATCTCTGTAATTTGAGGCCATCTGATTATTTCCTTTCTCCAGCATTTTATTATGAAAAATTTCAAGCAAATAGCAACATTGAAAGAATTTTCTTGGGATATCCACCACCTGGATTTTTTTATTAGTTAAAATTTTACTGTATTTGTTTTGTCAAGTATCTGCCTACATGATCAGTTTTGTTGCTATTGTTATTGAGATGGAGTCTGTGTCACCCAGGCTAGAGTGCAGTGGCACAGTCTTGGCTCACTACAATCTCCACCTTTCAGGTTCAAGTAATTCTGCCTCAGCCTTCCACGTAGCTGGGGTTACAGGCGTGCACCCCCATATCTGGCTAATTTTTGTATTTTTAGTAGAGACAGGGTTTCACCATGTTGGCCAGGCTGGTCTCGAACTCCTAACCTCAAGTGATCCACCCACCTTGGTCTCTCAAAGTACTGGGATTACAGTGTGAGCCACCATGCCCGGCCTAGTTTTTTGTTTGTTTTTTGGGTTTTTGTGTGTGTGTCTATCCATACAGCCAGTTGCTAAACTGTCTGTTGGATCACTCCATGGGTTGATTCTTTTATCAGGGTTTAAGTAATCAAAGCAGATTAGCTAGTCCCAGCTTCTGATGGCAGAACCATGAGCTGAGCTGCCAGCCTGAGAATGGTGGCTTGGTTTTGCCATCTTGTCCTTCCTGTCAGCGCATTTAAGTCTTCTCCCCTTTAAATTTTCTCTATGATGTTTAAGTTGTTGCTAAGCTACAGGAATCAAAGATAGGTATATAGGCAAAGCAGAAGCAGTTTCCCTTTTTCTCCTGAGCCCTGACTATGTAGGATAACAATGATTTTTGTTTCCTTTAAGTTGACATGCTTTGAAGTAAGTTCTGAATCTGCTTCCAGGGGGCGATTTGCACTACCACCTTTCACAGCACGGGGTGTTCTCTGAGAAGGAGATGCGGTTTTATGCCACGGAGATCATTCTGGGTCTGGAACACATGCACAATCGATTTGTTGTTTACAGAGACTTGAAGGTGAGGACAGTTGACAGACTCATTCTGCACAGTAGGTATTGTGCGAATGGTCCTGTAGAAGTCCCCTTCTCTTTCAAAGAGTCCTGACGTTTCCCTCTTAGCCCTCATCTCAGCCCTGATGAAGTCATTAGCTACGTGACATTGGTCTCCTCTAGACCAGACTCTGCGGGTACGGAGCGCATGTCTGTCCCTGTCATCATTATAACTCTGGTGCCCACTACAGTGCCTGGTGGTGCAGTTGTAAGTCAAACATTTTAGTTGATCAGATAATGAAAAGCAGTTTAGGAGCCCTTGTGCTGCCGCCCATTTCATAATTAATTATAACTCAATTAATGTTCACTAAGCAACTGATTTGGTCGTGGCTCTGTAAAGGTCTGGAAATGGACAGTGATGAATAAGCAAAGAACATATATTTTGTGGGGCTTAGAAGCTGGCGAACCAAGACACAGAATGCTGAGTCATAACTCCTCTGAGGCAAGGCCCATCAGTGAATAGTGGATTGCCAACCAGCCTGTGGAATTTCTCCCAAAGGCCACCCTCAGAACTTCACATTTTTTTGAGATTGCATCAAAAATCATTGATAGAGTTTTAGATCCTTGACCTGTGTAACCTCCAACTGCTGTGCCTGGTTTCTGTTCTCGTCCTCTGTAAGAGGTCACTCGGCTTGAAAGCAATAAAATAGGAGTATTCTGAGTTTTTCCATCCCAGAACGCGGTGCTTGGTCCTAGGTTTTACGCATGGAAGGGAGCTACAGGCTGGCTCAGCACGTCCATGGTGACACTCACCTAGTCGTATGGCCAGCAACCTGCAGGCAGGCGTGGAGAGAAAGGGACCTTGACAAATTAAAGAAATGACTGTGCAAACCTAGAAATGCATAAATAGTAATAAGAAAAATGAAAGGAGTGACAATTTGACAATAGGCAAGAAGAGTGGAGGAGAATGTGTTTGCCTCCCATTTCAGGTGCCTTCTTGAATGCACCCACAGTGGCCAACTGAAATGTACAGATTATGTTCTTTCCTCTAGGGACCCGAGGTGCCGTGATTGGCTTTTGAAGGTTACTTTCTAAGATACTATAAAAATTGTATTTTATTTCCGAAAATGTTTTTTTTTTTTTTTACAAAATACTTTGTGAATTTTAAACCTTTCCATAAGGTTACAGAATTATTAGTATTCCCTTAGTTTTCCTATAAGCATAAAGAAGAAAAATGTATTTTTATTGAATTAGAAACAACTAGACAATAGCTGGCACATGACATTTTATTTCCTTGTGTGAGCTTTGCAGAAGAATAAAATCCATGCTGAAGGCCCATGAAGGGCTATTGTAATACATTCTAATTTAAATCAATAACTGGTTTCTAGTCATCTTTATGCTTTATTTTTATTTTCTAAGCTATTTGGTAGGCAGTGGTATTATTTAATTTCCATTCAAACTTAATTCTAGTCACTCATGATTATTCATGCTTCAGTTTTATAATAGCATGCCATTTATTTTTATTTCAAGCAAAATAATAGTTGATCGCCAGCAGAAAAATATTATGAAGATGACTATGATTCAATGCATATCAGAAAGACGAGATTTATTTTTCATGATTATGATGACTAAATGTAATCTTCATGGATACATTTCATCAGAGTTGTGGTCAAAATTACATCTGGTCATTTGGTAGGGCCCTATATTAACGATGTACTAATGACCAGAAATGACATTTATCGGGATTAGTGTGGCACTGTGGAATATTTTGATTTTCTTAGGTCAGTGCTGATCCATTCTTGAAAGCTTCCTCTCTTAGGAATCCTTGCAGTTCACAGAAGCCCAGAGGCTGGTGGACTCACTTCCCACCCTTGCGAGGCAGTGCTGCCCTGGCTGCACTGCAGTTCGTGGTAAAGTGAAAGGACACGCTTTTAACGCCGATGAACTGAGGTCCCCCCATTCCTGTGTTACCTGCCCCGTGTTTCATTTTCTAGTGAATGGAATCCTTCGCCTTTATCATTCCCACTTTGCTGCTGAAGTTAATGGAAAAGTATTATTTTCTGTATCATGCCCTACATGGATGTATAAAGCTGTAATTTGTGTTTAGGAAAAAACTGTGATAAAGCATCTGCACTTAAGGTTCTCAAAGCCCCCATGGCATTTGGGACACTCCTAAAGATCATTCTCTTTCTGTTCAGCCAGCAAATATCCTCTTGGATGAATATGGACACGCGAGGATATCAGATCTTGGTCTTGCTTGCGATTTTTCCAAAAAGAAGCCTCATGCTAGCGTGTAAGTAGTGCATCGACTTCGGTTCACCATCCTTTATCTCAGGCCCCTTCAAAGGCTTGGCCCATTGTCACCCCATTTCTCTTGCCAGTGGTGATTTTCAATATGTCAGGAAGATCCAACATCACAGGTTGTGGGAAAGGAGATAAGAGCGGGGTGTCTGTGGGGAGTGGGAATTAACCCACAGTGTAGGTGAACCTGCCCAGGCGCCGGGGTGGTCTCTCAGAAACAGTCAGGACCTCAGCAAGAAACCAGAATCCCTGCAGCCTGTGTGACCTAAAATTCAGTCAGTTACTTAATCTGTAAGTAATGGTAGTAATAAACCGCTGAACATCATCCTGAGGATACGTGAAAGAGACTGCGCCCAAAAAGGCACAGAGGCAGCCGCGTGGATGTGGCCAAGGGAGGTCCTCGGGGCCAAGTTTCTGTCTTTATCTACTTTTCCTTCTTTTTCAAAAAGGTTGTTCTTTTTTTTTCCCTCCTGAAGGGAAATTAGGAATAGTTCTCTCTCTCTCTCTCTCTTTTTTTTTTTTTTTTAATTAAAGAAACAAACCATCCACTTGCAGTTTAGGCGTTCACAGCGGGTCATATGGTTAGACTTGGGTCTCGCACCCGTCCTCTGCGTGATCACCCAGAGGGAACTCTTGAGGCCACAGCCCTCAGTCAACACCTGACACCTGGGGGGCAGCAGAATGCTTCTGGGGGTGGCCGTGCTTGATCAGTGCAAGTTGGCCCTGACCTGAGGATTTCTCTCTGTACCCAGGGTTGTTAAAAAGACGGCAGGACCGTAGGACAGTTCTCCCGGGGCTCTGCAGAAATACCATGGAACGGGCACTGGTTTTCATTTCTGTTTCTTTGGGAGGCGATGATCTGGGTGGAAACTATGAACATATGTACAGTTTGTGGAAAAGCAGACAACTTTTGCCTTGTCTTTTTAAATGTCTCCTTCGCACTGAATCTTTTAAAATTATGTTTTATTGTACATCTTGAACTAACATTCATCTTTGTGTTGAATGGTCTTGAAAAAAAACTCCCAGTGGTCTGAATCCAGGCATCTGTGCAGAAGATAAACCACAGATCCTTCTCTTTGCGTAACTAGAAGTAAAGTGGCTCTGAACTGCAATGCTTTATGAAGGACTGCATTAAATCAAAATTGCCTTCTAAAGCCCTGATCAAATGTTAATAGTGAGTAGCACCGTTTCTGTACACATATTTCTCTTTTTCTACAGAATCTGGGATATGGTGATAAAAGCATTAGCATTTTGCTAGCACTTTACAATTATTAGGTCAGAACCTGTGGTCGTATAAGCTTCTCTCAGGGATTTCATCAGATTCTTCTAAGAGAGTCATTTGAATTTTTAATGCCACAGCTATTTGGTATGCTAATTTGTTCCGTTTAGTATAGCCACAACTAAATATGAATCCAAGAGTTCATAAGAAATAATCTTCCAGAGGAATTAATTTTCAGATATAGAGTTACTTATTTCCTAACAGGACTTAGCCCACTTTTTGCTATAATTCACATGTCAGCTCTGATGAACGGTGGGCTGTTCTTTTGCCTGCTCTGCAAAGCACAGTATTTGAACAACTTCTGTAAAGAGGTAGGGCTGAGAAGGTTGGTTTCCATGTTTAAATAATGATCAGGAAGGAGGCCACTACTTTAAAAAGGGAAATGTACAATAACATTTAACATTTTTTATTTTTTCAAGACCGAGTCTTGCTCTGTCTCCAAGGCTGGAGTACAGTGGCATGATCATGGCTCACTACAGCCTCTACCTCCTGGGCCCAGGCAATCCTCCCACCTCAGCCTCCCAGGTAGCAGGGACCACAGTCATGTACCCCCACATTCAGCAATTAAAAAAAAAATTTATAGAGATGGGGTCTCCCTATGTTACCCAATCTGGTCTTCAACTCCTGGACTCAAGTGATCCTCCCACTTTGGCCTCTAAAAGTGCCCTGTCAAAAATCTTGTAATTTTAAATAAAGGAGGCATTTTGTGGTTAAGAGCAAAGATTCTGGAACCAACAGATCTGGGTTTGGGTTCTTCTTCCTAGTTGTGTAAGCCTCGTTTTTCTCTTCTGTGAAGAGGAGAGGACAATGATATTTATCTCCTGTGATAATTGTGAGGGTTAAGTTAACTAAATGATTCAGCAAGTCTTTATTTAATATTTGCTGCGTGCCAGCTGCTGGCGATGCCATGGTAAGACAGGGCTGACCCCTGACCTCCTGGAACTAGCAGCCTCAAGAACTTGTCCCCTGAGTGACCAGCATATGGAGTGGTGGCAGTATCAGCAGCATTCACTGTGTCACTCACTGAATATCAGCTGTCCCAGGCATGCGTAAGGCACCCTCATGGAAACCCCGGAAATTATAGCAATCACTATCCAATTTTTGTGGTGTGGAAATTGAGGTTCAGAGAAATTAAGTAACTTGAACCAGGTCACGTGGCTGATATGCCATGGGGCTAGACTTACAATCCAGTTCTGTCTGATTCCAAAGCCTGTAATCTTTACACTGTGTGAATGAGCTCCCTGAGGCTTTGGAATGATCTGTCCAGTACAAGACGAGATCTTTAGCCACAGTTTCACCCTGAACTTAGTTTCTCAGATCTTCTCCAAGCTGCAGATGTGATTCTCAGACTTCATCTAGCGGCTGGCCCATCTCCAAAGTAGGATTGTAGCTGAGGTTTTATGATTTGCGCTTAGACTTGGTCCATTTAATGGAAGAATCATCAATTATTGTAAACTAGAAGTGAACTGTGAAGGAGCCATGAAAAATCAAAGGGAAACTTTTGGAGTTGCACAGATTGTCAGTGACTAATTTGAGTTCTAGCTTATTTTATCTAAGAACACAAAGCTGTGTCTCATGTCACAGCATCTTAAAACGGCCAAGTGTTCATCCAGTATTAATAGTAGAGCAGATCTTTAGCAGAATGCATCAGGAAGCATTAGCAGTGCCCTATAGGCAGAATCAGTAAACCTGGTGGCAGGCAGTCCAGGCTTGAGTTTTAGTGATATCCCGTGTAAGCATGAGGGACTGACGGTCTGCATTCATATATCTTATTTATCCTTGTAGTTGTCTTTCCATCCCAGAACTGTGATTTGCTCCTGATAAATACAGGCTAAAAGGCCACGGAAAAGGACTTTCTCCAACTCTGAAATTAAACCTTCCCAGAAAATGGCTTGGATGCCCCTCATAGAAATCTCCAATGCTCTCATGGTGTGGCCTGGTGACCTTACACTGTCATGGGTTTCAGCTGATTGAGCTTTCCAGAGTGCTGGGTTTGCCCTGATGGACCAACGCCCATTTTCACTGTTTGATACAACTCTCAAAATGCACCTCTTAGAGAGTACCAGTCCCAGTGATGACCCAGGCTCGTTAGTGATCCAGGATCAGTTATCTGAGTAGATTCCCACTGTTGCTGAGCATAAGCAAGTTAAAAATTCTTGTACTACGATAAGCATGGTCCCCAACACGAATCGAGTTGCTCCTGTATGTGAGCCCGTGACATACGTGCAGTGCTCACAGCAACCCTGAGAGGTAGAGATGTTATCTTATTACCCATTGTACTGAGGAAAAAAATGAAACGTGGATGAAGGGGCTGTAGGGCATACAGATAACGGCTTTTGCTGGGGCCCTTTCAGGCTACACCTTGGAAAGTTCCCCACGGGCTGCCTGGCGCTTCCTGCTGCAGCCGGGCCAGCTTAGCCTTTCAAGGAGAGGTGGAGAGTCCCAGAGTGGGAGGGGCTTTCGAGTTGCAGATGGTGCAGACGATCCATGAAATGGTTGTCCTCTCAAGTGATTTTTCTCAGTTTCCTGAAAATCATCTTCAGTTTGCTTAGTGCCGAGTCCTTTGACCTTCTGCAGCTTGTGAAACCTGACATGTGATTTCTCCATCGTGTGTACTACTGGGCTCATGTTCCTCCTTGTTCCCCATGCCCCTGGGGTCTGTTGCTGACCATGATCAAGCTGAGTCGATGCCCCTTCAAGCTCAGATCCTCAGCACAATAGGTGGCACCACACAGGGGTGGATGTCTCCATGCCTTCAAGGTCCACAGCACTGCAGCGTCCGTTTCCCCACCTCACCTGACCCCACACACCTGCATCGCAAGAGCTGAAACGGCAGGAGAACCTGTGCTCTTCATAGCTGGAGTAGAGAAGGACTAATGAGATTCCGAACTTGCATTTTACATATTTATTTCACATGCTTATTTATGTTAATCCATATACGAGTGAAGGCAGAAAAGATCATTTTCCCACTGGATGTTGAGTTTGCGGTGAGGCACAATTGTCCCTTCTCCTGTGTTTACAGCTGCTGCCATCTAATGAATGACACGCAGACCTTGGGGCACTGTTAGTGTTTTCTGAAATGGGCATGCTCTGATAACTGCCTGTACACTGTCTTCTCCCTAGTGGCACCCATGGGTACATGGCTCCGGAGGTGCTGCAGAAGGGGACGGCCTACGACAGCAGTGCCGACTGGTTCTCCCTGGGCTGTATGCTTTTCAAACTTCTGAGAGGGTGAGTGAAATGCATCCTTTTAGTGCTGTCCTCATGGCAGCAGGAACTTGGACGAACATTGAAAATATGTAGAAACGACTAGATTCTAATGATATTTCAAATGACACAGTGATCTTTAAGCCACATGCTAATCTGGAAGACTCTGCCTTAGAAGAGTGAAAGCTGCTTCCCCATAAGCTGCTGGATAAAAGCTTATGGCTTTGTATTTTTATTCTATACTATGTAGGAATCAAAATTCTTTTAAACCTAAAATTAGACTGCTTTGAATTATTTCCATGGGTAAGTCACATTGTAGGAATAAGTATTGTTTTGAAATGTAGGTAATTTTAAAAGGTAGAATAATTTCTTCCCTAGAAATTAGTTATTCATAATCTTGGGGGCTTACAGAATTTTGAGAGTTACAAAAAGAAAAAAAAAGGTTGAAAACCCAAAGTTAACCTATTTGATTGTATTTGTTTTTAGACAGGGTCTCTCTCTGTTGCCCTGGTGCAGTGCAGTGGCACAAACATGGCTCCCTGCAGCTAGACCTCCTGGGCTCAAGCAATCCTTCCACCTCAGCCCCCTGAGTAGCTGGGACTACAGGCATTCACCCCCACACCTGGATAAGTTTTTAGCTTTTTTCAGAGATGAGGTCTTACCACATGTTGCCCAGGCTGGTCTCGAACTCCTGGCCTTAAGCCATCCTCCCATCTCAGCCTGCCAAAGAGCTGGGATTATAGGCCTAAGCCACCATACATAACCAGTAAATCCATTTTAAAAGCTTGCATTTACTGGGAAAAACGCTGAAATTCCTGTGTGTTTTAAAGCTAGTAGTGTACTTGGCCCTTGCTCTGAACTACCAAAGACGATGAAATAAAGTAGAACAGTTGGTGAGAGGAAGGCACTTTCAAAATGTGTTCTCATATTAAACACTCAACAATTATACTACTGTTTCCATTAATTCTAAGTCTTTTAGCTACTTTTAGTGGAAAGCTTCAGTTAAATTTTTTTATCATTCAGACTCATAATACAAAAAGCATTTTACGTTAAAATTTCCTTGTCAAGGTTTTCCTTTGAATACTCTCATAAGAATGCAGTCCTGATGGTTTGCTAAATGTTGGACCTTTCCATTGGAGAGCCTAATTGAGCACCACTGCATCCTCTTATTACATTTAGCACATTCTGGAGAGAGGCTGAATTCCACATTCCCCCGAAACTAGGTTCTGAGCGCCCTCTGTTTCGTTAGGACTCTGATAATCCGGTTGTTGTCTGCTTTGCATTCACTTGTGATCTAAAATTGTATTATTGCTTAGAAAGTTGGGTTCTGTTATTCCTTAATTGGATTATTGTATTTGTGGAGCCTGGATGGCCTTAATTCATGTCATCAGACTAGCTGACCTAATTAGAGAGTTTATCTAAGCAAACCAGAGAAAGCCATTTCCCCTGTGAGACGCTGTTCTCCCCAGTGGAGTCGCTTCTGTGCATATGGAGTGCATGAAGACACCCAGGAGGTCTTTGTTCTGGATCTCTGCTGGCGATGTGGTTGGAGACAGACAGTCCCTACCTACAGAATTCGGAGATGATAAAAACTCTGTGCAACCGCTGAACCGCTGAATGCAAAAATCAGCAGTTAAATCTGACAGTCTCAAAAGTCTTGTATTTAGGACTTTGTGTACTTCTTTGTTTTGTGGCTCTGGTTGTTCAAATGTCCATGCATCTAGGCTGAGGAGGATTTGGTGTAACAGGACTTCAGTTTTTAAAAGACTGGAGGGTTTTGTTAAGTAACTCTGTCTGCTCCGACAGTGTGGCTTGTGGCTAACAAAATGAACTCAGTCTTACTTGGCCGGAATTCAGCTTTGCCGTACTGAACTGGAAGATATGAATTCCTTTGTGAAGTCCTCGGTCGGCCTTGATGGAAGCATTATGTTCAGTGGGGCTCCCACTGAGAAGAGACTTGACAGACAGGAAGGCATCCCTAGGAGGGCCGTGAGGATGGGAGGGTGGATGAGATGAGCGGAGAGTGGTAAAATAGCCAGAGCTTACCGCTTCTGTGGAAAGACCGAAAGAGCTGAGTCCAGAACTTAAGGAAGCTGCTAGAAGGCCATCTTGTTGAACGCGTCCCTCTGCATGCTGTGTAACTCCGGAGGGCCGCATTTTTGAAGAGGAAGATTGCAGTTTGATTCAAGAATGTCCAGTCACTTGAGCTACCTAATGAAGGAGGGCTCTGCCCCACAGATAGTTGGCTCCCTGTCACTGTCTGTTGACTATTGATTGAGACTGAAACAGAGAATCCTTGCAGTGGGTGATAGATAGGATTAGCTGGGTCTCCCCCACTAGGATTTATTATCTCAGGCCACTCCCTTGACTGTTGAGAAGCTGCTCACAGATAGGATATAGCACTGAAGCCAAAGAGCAGGAAACATTTTTTGACTTAAGTGATTTAAATGAAATGTGATAAACATTTATGGAGTTAGTACCTGTAATATACAAGAGACTGTGCTTGATGCTATGGGGGAAGGAAAGGGGCAAGGAAGGAAAACAGGAGAGGGAGGGAGGAGGAAGGGAGGAAGGGAGAAAGGAGAGGGAGGAAGGGAGGAAGGAGGGGGAGGAAGGAGGAAGGAGGGGGAGGAAGGAGAGGGAGGAAGGGAGGAAGGACGGGGAGGAAGGAGGGGGAGGAAGGAGAGGGGAAGGAGAGGGAGGAAGAGAGGAAGGAGGGGGAGGAAGGGAGGAAGGAGGGGGAGGAAGGAGGAAGGAGGGGGAGGAAGGAGGAAGGAGGGGGAGGAAGGAGGAAGGAGGGGGAGGAAGGAGGAAGGAGGGGGAGGAAGGAGAAAGGGAGGAAGGAGGGGGGAAGAAGGAGAGGGAGGAAGGGAGGAAGAGGAAGGAAGGAGAAAGGGAGGAAGGAGAGGGACGAAAGAGGAAGGAGAGGAAGGAAGGAAGGAGAGGGAGGAAGGGAGGAAGGAGAGGGAAGAGGGAAGGAAGGAGAGGGAGGAAGGGAGGAAGGAGAGGAAGGAAGGAAGAAGAGGGAGGAAGGGAGGAAGGAGAGGGAAGAATGAGAGGGAGGAAAGAGGAAGGAAAGGAAGGAAGGAAGGAGAGGGAGGAAGGAAGGAGAGGAAGGAAAGGAGGAAGAAGGTAGAGAGGAAGAGAAGGAGTGAGAAAGAGGGAGGGAAGGAAAGAAGGAGGAAGGAAGAAGAGGGAAGAGAGGTAGGAAAGGGAATGAAGGAAAGGAGGGAGGGAAGAAAGAAAGCAAGGAAGCCAGCTAGCCAGGAAGGGAGCCACACGAAATCCTTGAGGGATAAGCAGTCCAGGAGAATAGCTATGGATATGCACACTGGTCACACCGGATCAGGAGCTGTCCACGCTGTGCCGACTTCGACAGTAGCGATGTGCTGGGAGCACAGACGTGGGAGAACCAAGTCTAACCTGAAACGGTAGGGTTGCCTCAGGTGGGAGATGGTCTGTGGAGTAGGCTTTGAAGATAGGACGACAATACAAAGCCTGGGCACAGGGGAAATGTCAGCTTTCTGTGTTTCTCAAGGCGGGTGCTGAGGGAGAAGGCGCGGACGGTCGGGTCAGCACTGGGAAGGACCTCGGACCAAGCTGAGAAGCTTGACCTTTAGCCTCCAGGCCCTGGAGGCTGAAGGCTTTTCAGTAAGATGATTCTGGAAGCAGCCTGGAGCAATGGAGGGACAGAGACCGAGGCAGGAGGCAGGCAGAAGAATGTGGGCAAAAGGCAGTGAGCTTGCACAGCAGCCTTGGACCCTGACAGGAGTGGATGGCAGGGGGTACTGCAGAATTAGAGTCCACGGCCTTGGACCCTGACAGGAGTGGATGGCAGCGGGTACTGCAGAATTAGAGTCTGTGGCCTTGGACCCTGACAGGAGTGGATGGCAGCGGGTACTGCAGAATTAGAGTCCACGGCCTTGGACCCTGACAGGAGTGGATGGCAGCGGGCACTGCAGAATTAGAGTCTGTGGCCTTGGACCCTGACAGGAGTGGATGGCAGCGGGTACTGCAGAATTAGAGTCTGTGGCCTTGGACCCTGACAGGAGTGGATGGCAGCGGGTACTGCAGAATTAGAGTCCACGGCCTTGGACCCTGACGGGAGTGGATGGCAGCGGGTACTGCAGAATTAGAGTCCACGGCCTTGGACCCTGACAGGAGTGGATGGCAGCGGGTACTGCAGAATTAGAGTCCACGGCCTTGGACCCTGACAGGAGTGGATGGCAGCGGGTACTGCAGAATTAGAGTCCACGGCCTTGGACCCTGAAAGGAGTGGATGGCAGCGGGCACTGCAGAATTAGAGTCTGTGGCCTTGGACCCTGACAGGAGTGGATGGCAGCGGGTACTGCAGAATTAGAGTCTGTGGCCTTGGACCCTGACAGGAGTGGATGGCAGCGGGTACTGCAGAATTAGAGTCCACGGCCTTGGACCCTGACAGGAGTGGATGGCAGCGGGTACTGCAGAATTAGAGTCCGCGGTGCTTCAGTGTTTCCATGGGGTGCTTTTTGTTTTTTTTTTTTTTTTTTTTTTAAATAAATGGTCGGATATGGAAGGATCGGACTTAAAGATGGTGCAGTTTAGGTTCAGGATAATTGGGAGAATAACGATGTCATGACCAAAATCAGTCTGTCAAGCTTCAGTGGTTCACACGAAACTGAAGTGTGTGCAAGGCCTTTGAGGAGCAAACCCCTGTGGCGAGGCGGGGAGGAGGTGGGACTGTGTGCAGGAGCCTTCACTGCCTCAGCTGTGAACCAGGGGATCGTGCCACCTGTTCTACTTCCTCACAAAGTTGCTTGTGGGAAAACCTCAAAAATATGCCTGTCAGTATCCTGTGCATTTTTCCTATGTTGTATAGAAGGGAGCTGCAGGCAGCTGTCTTTTCTCAGGCACTAAGAAATCAACTGAGTGGAGGAGGAGATTGACTAGGCAGGGCCTCTGGGGCACAGGCTTGGGCACCGTCCCCTCTGCATCCTGGCTCTCTCCTAGGGCACCGGTCCTCAACCCCAGGGGGCACTGGGCAATGCCTAGAGGTTGTCATAACTTGGGGAGGGGCTGCTACTGGCATCTCCTAAGTAGAGGCCAAAGATGGTGATCATCAGCATCCTATGGTGCATAGGACAGCCCCCGCAGCATCCCAACAAGGAATCATTTGGCCCCAAATGTCACCACCCCAGAGCAAGTTGCCCCTCCCTTCTGCCACAGCTGTGCGGTGAGGTTGGATCTGTGGTCACCAAGGAAGGGTCTGTCTTCTATGCTCAAATCCTCCTTCTCTGACCAACGTGCCCCCTCACTTCTGCTGAAACACTTTTCTGCCTGCTTCATTTTCTCTTCATCCCCTACAAGAATACTGCAAGGCATTTGGAGAAGGAGTTTGAATGGGAGAAAGTTGTCAAGACTTGAGAAGGTGTTTTGCATCCCTGGACTCAACAGTGATTGACCGAGCCATTCATATCCCCCATTTTTGGGTGCTGGACATGACTTCTGTTTCAGATGACTTTGTCAGATACTCAAGAGCATCTGTGTATGAAGACACACCCATGTTGCAAACCTGTGGAGCTGCCGTCATGATCTTCACCTAGATTTAAGGTGTCTGTTAAGGAAATCAATGGATGTGACAGTGGCCTCGATCTTAAGCTCATCACCGTTGATGGTCTCCCTGTGGAGTTGTCAGAGACGAGGAGGAGCCTGAACAGTGGCCTGAGGAGGACTGAATGCTGCCTGGCTCTATTGAGTTTGTTCCAGGAGAGGGGAAAAGGGCAGTTTATTAATATTTTGGCAGCTACTGGGTTAGGTTTGAAATGCACATGTAATGTAACATGCCATCTTTGGGGTATTTTAAAATTAACTTTTGATGTGAGAGTTTTTAATCACATAATTTTTGAACCCATTGTTTCCCCGTGAATATGATGTAGAGTTAACTTGGGATCGGGGGGTTCATGTGTTCCCGCATCATTTATAATGTCCCGAACAATTTTTCGGCTCATTTAGGGGAAACGTGCAGCTGTTCCATTCTATCTGTAGTTCAGAAAGCTACACTTGACCACTGCACATGTGAATTCTTTTCCCACAGCATTCCCTGATGCAGCCAGCGTGTTGCATGGGAAGAACTTGGCCGTGCCTTGTAAGCTGTTGACAGGCCCGTTACTGTCTCCTATTTAAAGTGGCTGCATCAGGGAGCAGCTGTGACCACACAGGATCTGTGCTCACCACGTGCCTCGCTCAGAATGGAGATTATTACTATCATAGGTTTTCTATAACGTTTTCCAAAATAGAAACTGAGTCTTTGGCTTTGTTCACAAAGAATAATCAAGAATATATTGGAAACAGATGTGCGTCAAGATTTCAACTGGAAAGACCAAAGCGTCTGAACATGGCAGCATCGAATTGAATAGCTGAAGAGCATTTTCTGATAATTTCTTATTGAGCTGGACATGGAATCGCTATATTTATAAATGGAATTTGTAGCAATAGGGCCCATGTGCTGGAAATAGTTTTGGCACCACTAACTTTAACTCCGAGTCCCCTCACAAGCCTCCCTGTGGTCTCATGAAAGACTTCAAATTTAGCACAGAGCGTTTGTGTCAGAACATAGCAGGCCTCCTCAGCAAGGTCAGGGCATAGCCCTTTCCTTCCTGGAGCAGCCATGAGGACACGGGGGCCAGATGCAGGAGTGGGGTCCTCTGGCTTTGCATGCAGGAGCCAGGTCCGAGGGATTTGTCAAAACACCAGATCTGCCCTTGATCCCTTTTAACACAGTAAGGAGCACCATCGGGTGGAAGCAGCTCAGCGTCGAGCAGGGAGGCTAAGGTCTTCCTAAGGTTTGATCAGCTTTCATTCCTTTTCTCTACAACTGTAAACACATTAGTATTTCCGGGGATTTTGTATGAAAGAGAATGATGCAAGCATGATACATTTTTAAACATCATAAATAACAGACATTGTTTGCTTTTACATCTGCTTTTTAAATGTAGCAATGGTACATTTTTTCCTTGAAATAAGGCAAAAAGAATATTTTCAATCAAAGTCTACTTTCAAAGTTAAATGTTTACTGGGTGCTAATTTATCTTGTTTTTATCTTTTCTTTCTTTCTTTCTTTTTTTCAAATTAATGCTTTTAAGAGATGGGAATTAGCTTGTATTTCACTGTATGAAATGATATGGAAGGAAATAAAGGACTAGAGTGCCCTCTCTTGCACAAAAAGAAAATTAAAGTGTTTCAGACACTAAATGGTCTGAAATGTAATAATCTCAAGAGATAGTTCAATGTATAACCTAATTAATTCAGTAGGACGACCAGCTCAGTAGCAGTAAGTAGCAGTGCAAGATAAGTGGCATTTGAATTCTTTTTTAGAATCTCACTGAGTTATGTGCTCGACATCCTAATCCATTTTATGGAGTTAATATTCAAATATTTTACATAATATCCTGCCTGCCTCAGCTTATGTCATTTCTGCCTTATAAATAAATGTATAGGATTACTACTTTGCTGGCACGTCTTGCTATAAGAAAATTCAATCTTATGTGCCCCTTTACTTTCAAAGTGAAAAACCATGGTATTCTAGTTTGCATATTTAATAGTTTTTTTTATGGTAAGGTTTCCTTTGAAAGTCAGCTTCTCCAAAGTTTTAAAAACACGAGAAAGAGTAAGAATAATCTGTTTTACATAGTTCACGAAGTAGACATTTATTTTATAAAGTAAGAATTATCTTTTTTTTTGAGATGGAATCTCACACTGTCACTTGGGCTGGAGTTTGATGGCTCCACTCGGCTCACTGTAAGCTCCGCCTCCCGAGTTCATGTGATTCTCCTGCCTCAGCCTCCTGAGTAGCTGGGATTATAGGCGCGCACCACCATGCCTGGCTAATTTTTTGTATTTTTAGTAGAGACGGGGTTTCTTTGTTGGCCAGACTGGTCTCGAACTTCTGACCTTGTGATCCGCCCGCCTCAGCCTACCAAAGTGCTGGGATTACAGGCATGAGCCACCACGCCCTGCCCAGTAAGAGTAATCTTTATTATTTCCACAAGTGGTTACTGTATCAGCTTCCTACCTTACTGCGATTGTCTTGGCTACTTGCATAGATAGCGCTTTAGCTTTTCCCCTTCACCACTTCTGTGAAGTGGTGGTGGCTTGATCCCTGCTTTACAGATGAAGACTTGGTACTGAAGGTTTCTATCTGGCTGACAGTCAGTATCAAGTCACAACCTGAATCCAGCGTTTCTGACTCTGGAGTCTGGGATTCTGTACAGGGAAGGCATGAGGCAGTGCTCAGAGCTGTGGAGAACCTGCTGGTGTGTGGTTAGTTTATTTCTCTTTTCATCAAAGGGATGTATTGCTTAAAATTACTGGTTTCTAGGGGTGAATTGTTTCATCTCCGTCCTGTTTTGCTTCAGCTGCTCTTCCTTGGGCTGTTTCAGGGACCAATATCCATTTTCCTGAGAGATTTATATGAAAGGTACTGTTCAGTTCAAACCCTCGTATGACAAATGTTATATAAATGACTTTTGTTCTCACGATTACCTGTTGGCTAGTTACAGATTCTTTTCTAATGGTATTTCCATTGGAACAGCGTGTTTTAGGGCCACAAGTTCACCGAAGGGAGATTCAGGCAGTTCAAGTAAGATCTAAGTCCTGCTATTTCTCCTAACATTTGCGCACCAGTTTTTCTGTGGAAATGATACCTGTTGGTAGCTTTTGCATTTCTCCAGTTTTGAATGAGTAGTGATAGGACGTAATACTTTACCCATATATTAGTCAGTGGTATGTGCTGTCTCGCCTGATGCCAGGTTTTAATGGAAGAATTCTTTTTTTCCACAGTCACAGCCCTTTCAGACAGCATAAAACCAAAGACAAGCATGAGATTGACCGAATGACCCTCACCGTGGTAAGGAGATTCAGAACTCTCTTCTCATCTGCATGATCATTGTCATGTTTCAATCTATCAATAATAAAAAATGGCCATCACATGAAGTATTATAGGAAATAGAAAACCATATATAATATCAACATAATAAAAATGTGCTTTCTTAAAACAAATACATGAAGATATAATTTCTAAAAGAATTTCTAGAAGAAAAAATGAATGGAAATAGATGCCAAGGCAAAAATCAGGATTTACTAACAAACAGTATGAAGAAGCTAAAGAAAATCTAGAACGAAAGTAAAGAAATCAAAGAAAAGGAAAATGACTAAGACGCCGAAGAATGAGGATGCCTTCTGGTTCTTCTGGTCTGGACCCAGCCTGATGGATTTCGCAACTGATTAGTGACCTTTTTATGTTTCTATAGAGTAAATATTAATTCCTAATGAGACTGCAGTTTTCAATACTATTCTTATCCAAGCAATAGCCTTTAACCTAACCTAACTGGTTGGTTGTTAGGATACTGTTTCCATGAACAGATTTTAAAAATCTGACTTGTCTTTTCCCCAGAATGTGGAACTTCCAGATGCCTTCTCTCCTGAACTGAAGTCCCTTTTGGAGGGCTTGCTCCAGCGAGACGTTAGCAAGCGGCTGGGCTGTCACGGAGGCGGGTAGGCCATTGTTCCTGCCTTTCGGTATCTTTACCGGAAGAGCAAAAGAGTGATTTTTAAATACTGCCTATCAAAAGTCATCCCTAGTCCTTAAAATGTTCCATTTTGACTTGAAAGGGGGAAAAAAATAATCACATGGGAAATCTACATATATTGTCCTATGTGTTTTTATAGTTAAGGAGTTGAAGAAGTCACTCACTTTTTTGCTTTATTTATTTTTGAGATGGAGTCTTGCTGTGTCACCCAGGCTGGAGTACAGTGGCGTGATCTCGGCTCACTGCAACCTCCACTTCCTGGGTTCAAGACCACTGATGCCAGCTACCACGCCTGGCTAATTTTTGTATTTTTAGTAGAGACGGGGTGTTGCCATGTTGGCCAGGCTGGTCTCAAACTCCTGACCTCAGGTGATCCACCCACCTTGGCCTCTCAAAGTGCTGGGATTACAGGTGTGAGCCACCCTGGCCAGCCCACTCTTTAACTTTTAAAGATTGACCTTGTGGTTGATAGGAATGAATTCTGATATTTTGTAGTCTGTTTGTTTTTTAGTGATGGTTATATTTGTGATTATGGCAGTTTAATATTCTGACCAGATTCTCACATATTTCTCTCATGCATAACTGAGTAACTGCTATCTCTAACACGTACTCACTATTCCCCTGCCCCAAACATTCTAAACAGTAGTATCTAGAAAGCTTATATAGAGAGATTTAAGCCAGACCTTTCTCCTGTATCTCTTCACCCCCAGGCTTGCTTGGCATAAGAAGTAACTTTTAAGTGTATATTACCTATATGTATGTCATACATATGTGTATGTATGTTTTAGTGTGCATATTATACATATAGTATAAGCAGTTTACATAGATAACTAAATAATATACTTATATATGAGTATGTCCTTATTAACTTGCAAAATTACCTATTCCTGCTATAATAGATGAAGATTTAGCTCACTCATTATGGTCTCTGTAGCCCTCCCTTCCTTCACCTCTCAAAAGAGTTGAAACACTATTTTGGGTTCCTCTTTTGCTTCCCTCTGTAGCTTTCAATTCTGTGCTTAACCCAGCTGTACCTTTTTCCAACTATAAACAGTATCTGAGTCAAGGATTTCGACATTCCTGTCTTTCATTGTCTTCTCTCTGGTGATCTTTCATGTGAATTCTTATTTTACATCATCAGTATGATACTGCTTACTTCCTATTCTGTGATCACAATCAATCTTTGCGCCTTGCATATAGGTTGATTTCAATAGTTGCAAATGAAGAAGGTATTTACACTGTCATGTGGAATCACAAATGTTCATTTCATGGTTTCTACTTAGCTTGTAATAAACTTTAAGTTACATAGTTATATATATACATATGTAACATGTATATATATAAGAGATATACATATATCTTTCTCTCAAAAAAGCACATGCTGGTTGTGGACTTTGTTTTTCCCTGATGATTCTTTCGGGAGGACTCCGCCTGCAGCAGCACTGAGAAAGAGGTGCTCTATTTCTGCTAATCGGCGTCTTCTCACCCAGCACTTCCTTTGCAGCCTCCTGGTCTGAATCTGCTGCTCACTCGATTCCCTGCCTCCTGCTACATGTAGGCTAGACATAGAATTCTAAATAAATAATAGTTTTCCCCCAGAACTTTGACGCTCCTGCTTTATTGTGGACCAGCGGACAGTCTGTGTGGGCCATGGAGCTGGGTTACCGCTTGTGACGGCAGGCTCGCAGTACCCCTTGTGCTCGGGGACTCACGTGCTTCAGCTTAGAGAACACCCTTCCTTTCCTTATTTGACATTCCTCGTGCTCTGTTTCTTGCAGAACTCTTATTAGCTGGATGCTCGGGTTCCTTTCTGGACGTGGGCCTCTGCGCTCCTGATCTTGAATGTTACCTGCATCTTTGCTTTATTTGTTATACTTGCCGATAGTATACATTTTCAACCCTTTTATTTATTTCCTTTTTAAAATCTTTAGCAGGTTTAATTTCTTAAAAGTAGAACTTTTCGGGCTGGGCACGGTGGCTCGCGCCTGTAATCCCAGCACTTTGGGAGGCCGAGGCGGGTGGATCATGAGGTCAAGAGATCAAGACCATCCTGGTCAACATGGTGAAACCCCGTCTCTACCAAAAATACAAAAAATTAGCTGGGCATGGTGGTGCGTGCCTGTAATCCCAGCTACTCAGGAGGCTGAGGCAGGAGAATTGCCTGAACCCAGGAGGCAGAGGTTGCGGTGAGCCGAGATAGAGCCATTGCACTCCAGCCTGGGTAACAAGAGGGAAACTCTGTCTCAAAAAAAAAAAAAAAAAAAAGGTAGAACTTTTCAGGGTTTTCTTATTCCATGTTAGAGTAAACACCTTGCTGCAGGTGTTCTGGGGGTGGGTGTGGGGTGTGCATGTGTGTGCAGGTGTGCTGCTGCTCAAAGCCACAGGGTCCATGCCCAGAGCTCCAGTCCTCTGTCCCAGCCCCCAGCCACACACACTGTGGTGTGCTGGAGCTCAGCACACCGGCTCCATCCTCAGGGCAGTATCTCTGCCCTGCTTTGCCATCAGTCACTGTCCTTGTGTCAACACCCCTTCTTGTCTGCTGATGGCCCTCCCTCTCTCTCACACATGGTAGATTTTTTTTTTTTTGATGTTTATTTTTACTTGTATTTTTATTTTTTTGCGATAGAGTCTTAACTCTGTTGCCCAGGCTGGAGTGCAGTGGCGCCATCTTCTCAGCTCACTGCAACCTCCGCCTCCTGGGTTCAAGTGATTCTCCTGCCTCAGCTTCCCAAGTAGCTGGGACTACAGGTGCTCACCACCACACTCAGCTAATTTTTGTATTTTTAGTAGAGATGGGGTTTTGCCATGTTGGCCAGAACTGGTCTCAAACTCCTGACCTCAAGTGATCTGCCCACCTTGGCCTTCCAAAGTGCTAAGATTACAGGCATGAGCCAGCATGTCCCGCCTATTTTTGTCTTATAAAAAGAGAGTGTCTCACTCTGTCACCCTGGCTGGAGTGCAATGGCACAGTTATAGCTTGCTGCAGCCCCAAACTCCTGGGCTCAAGTAATCCTTTGGCCCCAGCCTCCTGAGTAGGTGGGACCACAGGCCCATATCACCACGCCTGGCTAACTTTTTTTTTTTTTTTTTTAATAGAGAAGGGGTCTTGCTATGCTGCCCAGATGGGTCTTGAATTCCTGGCCTCAAGTGATCTTCCCCTCTTGGCCCCCAAAGAGCTAGGATGACAGGCATGAGCCACCGTGCCTGGCTCCATGTTCCTTTCCTGCCGTTTCAGTGGTTGTTGAGAAGGTGTGAAGATGCATGCTTGCACCCAGTCACAGGCTTGAACCAGAAGCATTCTTTCTGGGGCATTTCTAATTGCTTGGATATATGCAAGTAAACTTCTTACTTAGCTTACCACATTTAATGTATGAACAATGATGGACACAAAAATGGAACCCAATAAGAAAATCACCGAAGTGTTGGCAGTAAAAATGCACGAGGATACGCTCTGGGATCCCAGTCCTTCCTTCAGTGTCTGTTTTCTGGGCACACACTGATGCTACCCCGTGAAGTGGCAGAGGCAGTGCTCCTGATAGGGATGGCCCCTGCCGCCTTGAAGCTCCTGCTGTGGGAAAGCCACAGTGTAGAAACATCAAGTAAGATGGGTCCAGATGGTGAGAAGTACCTGTGTGGGGGACGAGGCCTGGGGAGGAACACTCCAGCGGAAGGGTCAGTTAGGGAGGACTTCCAGGTAGAATCAGCAAAGCCAGGTCTCCTCGGCACTGGGTTCGGTAATAAATGCAAAGCCAAACTTTGGAGAGTTTTGAGCAGAGGAGTGGTGAGTTCATTGAAGAAGGTGATTTGGGCACTGTATGAAGTGGGGTGGGGCTGCAGGTGGGCAGGACTAGAGGTCAAAGGAGGAGGCATTAGAGCAGCTCAGGCAGGAGGTGCCAGTGCCCTGGCGCCTCAGTGTTTCTGGTGGGGCGTCTATCATCCCTTCCCTGCGCACAAATGCCAGGAGCACCCTGAGCAGAAACACCAGCCCTAAGTGAGAGTCTGGGGAGGATGGGAGGTGGTAGGAAGTAGTCAGGTCTGGGACTGGCCGAGGGGTGGCTGTGCAGCATGAGGGAAGGGAAGTATCCAGGACCATCCTGGCTGGGCTGTGTGGGAGCAGTGTGGAGAGGGCTGCGTCAGCCCCGCCTGTATCCTCTGAGTGCGCTGTGGAGTAGGAGTGGCCTGAACAAGGGCGAGGGTTGGTGCTTGGGGTACAGATTTCGGAGTCCTATAAAGGCACTCCAGCTCCTGGGTGGGGCGAGACGCCCCAGGAATGACTGCAGAAGGGCCCTGAGAAGCAGCCCTGAGCTCTTGGACAAGATGTGGAGGAAGAGAAAGTGAGTGGCACGTGCTGGGGTGCCGCTGTGCCACGCAGCCTTTTCCTTGCTGTGCAGCTTTTTGTTGTTGTTGTTTCTGGAGACATATTCTCACTCTGTCATCCAGGATGGAGTGCAGTGGCGCGATCTCGGCTCATTGCAGTCTCCCCTCCCGAGTTCAAGCAGTTCTTCTGCCTCAGCCTCCCAAGTAAATGGGACTACAGGTGCACGCCACCACCATCAGCTAATTTTTTTGTATTTTAGAAGAGACAGGGTTTCGCTGTGTTGCCCAGGCTGATCTTGAACTCCTGAGCTCAGGCAGTCCACCCACCTTGGCCTCCCAAAATGCTAGGATTATAGGCGTGAGCCACCGTGCCCAGCCAACTTTTGCTCTGGGTACTCCGAGTTTTAATTATGACCTTAGAGAAAACTTGTTTGTTCAATTTATAAAGGGTTTTGGTATACATTGTATTATTAGATCTCTAGTTTGCTTCTGGGTAAATGCGGTGCTTGACATTCCTGTCATTTTCCTATGATATTATCATCTATTGTGACATGTAGATATTTGCCGTAAATTTCTTTAATGTGTAGATATCCAATTTAATTCTTATTTCAGTTATGTCCTCATGACTATAGAATTACTGTATGTATGCATGCATGTGTGTATTTATATCTGTGAAAATTTCTAGGTTATCTTAAACTGTAATAACTATCCCAAATAAATGATCTTATGGGATAATATTCCCAGGTGCTGCATGCAGTATTCTAAACATCATAGCATTCCTCGTGTTGCTTTGAAGGAACCATAATTATTTGCTTTCTTAAAAAAAAAAACAACAACTGGAAATACTTGTTCCCCTGTGTTGTTAACAGCAGTTTTGTACAATATTTCTTATATTTCCAACTGCATACTTACCACTGTTACGACTCTTTCTCCTCCAGCTCACAGGAAGTAAAAGAGCACAGCTTTTTCAAAGGTATTGACTGGCAGCATGTCTACTTACAAAAGGTACTCACCCCCCTGGGCTCTACCTTGGGCACCGCCGCCCTTACATGCTTGTCTCTGTCTCTGGCTCTGTCTCTGGCTTCCTGGCCCTGTGACCCCAGGATCCCCGCCACCCGCCTACCCCGGCATCCTGTGTCCACAGCACTCTGTCACCCAAGAGTTACCATGTAGCCCATCCCCTTGGGGGTACCCTCTCTCTCTTCATTTCCCTAATATAAACATTTTGGAAATATCTCCTGTATCAGCTAATAGAAGGTAAAATGGAGCTATGATCTAGTGAATTCAATGCACGTATAATTGAGCCTTTTTCAGTGTGTGCTCACCTTCTCGAATTCTTATCTCAGTATGTGACTATTTTACATAGATCTCCATAAAATGTACACCAGACTTCTTCCATAAACTGATGTCTGTTTTCTGGCCCCACACTACACAATTCAAGAATTAGCATATTTTAGATCAGCATAATTTCCTTCCCTTATTTTAAGCTTCATTATATTTGCATTGATACAGGAAACAACCCAAATTCAGTTTTTAGAAAAATGTTGATGATCAGCCTTAGGGTTTTTTTTGTTTTTGTTTTTTGCATGAACTCAGACTGCAGAGAAATGATGATTTTCTGTAGTAAAGAGAGACTCATCTGTTAGTCCTGCCGAGTTAGGTTTTGACCTGTGGTCCAGTTAACATTTACGTTGAGGTGTTTGTAGATCCGGCCTGCTCCCTGTTGTGGCTTCAGCAACCTGAAGGTGTTGTTGCGTCCTCTGAGAGATTGTGCTTTCCTAAGCTGAGCTGGACTGATATGCCTGAGATTTGGTTGTATTTGAAAATTATTTAAGCCTTCAGCCATGAGTCCTATTTTTCTTTATTTTGTCTAAAATCCAGGGCCTCCCTTTGGGGCTATTCAGTGCAAAGGCTTTTATACAAAATATGAAATGTGATTTGTTACAATCTTGAATGAAATGCTGCACAGTGTTGCTGAGCGTGGTGGCTCACGCCTGTAATCCAGCTCTTTGGGAGACTGAGATGGATGGCTTATCTGAGGTCAGGAGTTCAAGACCATCCTGGCCAACATGGTGAAACCCCATCTCTACTAAAAATACAAAAATTAGCCTAGCGTGGTGGTGCCCGCCTGTAGTCCCAGTTACTCAGGAGGCTGAGGTGGGAGAATCGCTTGAACCCGGGAGGCGGAGGATGCAGTGAGCTGAGTTCGCACTACTGCACTCCAGCCTGGGTGACAGAGTGAGACTGTCAAAGAAATTTTAAAGAAGAAATGCTTTACAGTGTAGCATGCTGATACCTTGCACTGTGCTGTCTTCGTAGAATGTTAGGTTGGGATGGGGCCGTAAAGGTCATCTGATGAATGCACTATGCTTGTTTGCGTTTTCCAGTACCCCCCACCCTTGATTCCTCCCCGGGGAGAAGTCAATGCTGCTGATGCCTTTGATATTGGCTCATTTGATGAAGAAGATACCAAAGGCATTAAGGTACACATGCAATCATTGTTTCCTTTCTTTTATTTTTGGATGGGGGGATTTCTGGTGGAAATCAAACTTAGCGGTTGTTTTAGTATTGGGCTGTTGGTGGTATTTGACTCATCAATGAATATCAACATATTTGAAGAATATGTAAGTTAAGGATCTAAATGACAGGCTTTGAAGGCTTTCTTCAGACTAATAGTTTTATTTTTGATGAACTGCATGGGAAAATGTTTATTGATTTGGCGTATGTGTGATTGAAATAAAACTCAAATTGTACATGAAGCAGGAAAGACAACTGCGTGGCACAAACATACTTTCCTAGTGCGAAAGAGCCAGGGTCTCAGCTCTTAGTGTTTACATCTCCCCGTGTTAGGACGACAGAGCAAACAGCGCGAGTCATTTTGCATTTGTCAATCAAAGATGAAATAATCACTGTTTTTAAATACAATCCTCTGCATTTTTCATACTTTCGTTCATGTCACTATTCCCCCAAGTAGAGACAAGACATAATTAGAGACGGTGAGTCATGAGAGAAGATCATCCTGTCTAAGATGCTGGGTCAAAGCGTATCACTACATCAAGCTCTCACCTACCCCCATGCTGGCAGCTTGCCCCAGCTCTCCCCACTGCTCCCTGGCTGTCCCTGTTTCTTCTCAGCTGGTCCCATTTACACCCTTCTGATGCAAGCCCTCCTCGCTTTCCCCACCAAGGAGCTTCCTTTTCCAGAAGGCTGAAGCACTATTAAAACACACACCTCTCAGGTGTGAATGAAAGAGTGACAAATAAAATGCAGGGGCCTGGCAGGAGTTATGATTAGAGACACGTGGGACTGGGACCAGCTAGGCTATGGGATCAGAAAAGGCAGAAGATATGAGGATTGCGGGGAAGGAGAGCATTTATCGGGAGCAGCATGTAGAGGCCAAGTGCATCCGGGGAACCCAGTGGCAGCTGGCCAGTGCTAGGGGCCCCAGGAGATGAGGGACTGGGTCATGATGGTGATTGGGGTGTTCACAGGACTAGCTTCTCAGGTGCTGGAGGTTAGGTGAAGGCAAAGTGGGGAGGGCCCAGGCCACAGGGCTGTGAGGATTGATGACCAACTGCGAGACACCCTTCTGTGGTCTGGAGCAGTGGCTGGGGTCAGCACTGAGACCAATGCCTAGACCTGTGCACCGCCAGGCATCGTCTGTAGCCTGAACCGTTGATACCATTGATGTGGGGTATATGAGTAGACAGCAGCGCCTTGGGGAACAACCCACTTACAAAGGTATTTAAAGAATGTACCGCTGTCACAATAGAATTTTTTCACCTGCTGTACTACGATCTATCAGAGTACTAAAAATAAAACTACTATTATGTGGGCGCCCACGAACATTTTTTGATGTTAAAAAGAGATGATCATACTTGAAAGTGTGGTAAACCAAGATCCAGGCTTTGGAGTCAGACTGGGCTGGGATCTGCCATTAGCGGGGTGAATGTGGGCCATTCTGTAAGCTCTCAGGTCTTGGTTTGCTCACCTGTAAAGTGGGGGATTTCATTGCCAAGCTTTCTCTAAGGATAAATGAGGTGGCCTGCTGAAGGCTACAGGCATATGGTCAATGCTTGACAGACTAGTAGCTTCTACTATTATGTGTTGGTTCTTCCTGAGCAAGAAGTCGTATCTGGTAGGGAATCAGCTGGAAACAAGAAGCCCAGGTCCCGCCCCTGTGATGGCTGAGTCTAGCAGGAAGGGCAGAGGACAGCCCTTTAAGAAACTGTCTTGTAAAAACAGCCCAAATAACACACTTCCTTTAAAAGGGAGGGGAAACCTCACATCATGTAAGCATAAGTTGTCTTCTTCTTTAAAAAAATTCATTTTCAGCAATGTGGGCTCAGTTCATAAAGATCAAGTCTTTCCGAAATTATAGGCAGTGAAACAGTTTGTCTATAAAACAGAGCTGGCCGTTTCAGAATAGCTACCTGGGCAAGGAGCGTGCTTTGACTCTTTACCAGACTGCTCAGAACCTGTCCCGTGTGCCTGATTGCAGGTGCTTATCAGGCTTTGGGGTCTTCAACACCCCATCACTCACACACGCACCTCCAGTCCCATTCAGAACAATCAAGGGGTTCAGTTACGGGTTTAGATTGAATGTCTGAAGAAAACAGAAAGTGGAAAGGCTCTACAGGTCAAGGTGACCTCAAAATCAATAGATTATTATAATAGATCAATCAGACTGGATGGAGTGGGCCCCAGGTTGGGATGTGGGATGCAGCTGCCTCTGCTGTTCTGTTACTTGCTAAGGGAGTGTGTGAAAAGGCTTGGGCTTTCTTGCCCTTCTCAGTATTTTGCCTGTTGTGATACCCACCCCTGCTTCTCTCTCAAAGAGTAAGCAAATCAAGTCTGTAAGGTCTGTGCTTCTAAGGCAAGCATGTTTTTATCAGAAGGTCTGCTGGTATATCTGCCATAAAAATGCAGCTCAGATGCATAAAACCATTTTCTTCGCTCATATTCAAAGTGCAGCCTTACCTAGAGGGCAGAATGAAGAATTTTGAGTAATGGTTTGGAAGAAAAACACTCCCATTAAGTGTAATTTTTGTTACCGCAACTCTTTTTTTTTTTTGAGACGGAGTCTTGCTTTGTCGCCAGGCTGGAGTGCAGTGGCGCAATCTCGGCTCACTGCAACCTCCGCCTCCTGGGTTCAAGCAATTCTTCCGCCTCAGTCTCTTGAGTAGCTGGGACCACAGGCATGTGCCACCACGCCTGACTAATTTTTGTATTTTTAGTAGAGATGGGGTTTCACCATGTTGGCCAGGATGGTCTCGATCTCTTGACCTCATGATTCGCCCACCTTGGCCTCCCAAAGTACTGGGATTACACGCCTGAGCCACTGCACCCAGCCCTACAGAAACTCTTAAAGGCTCCACTGCCTAAACTCCCCATGTATCTTGAGCTTTCTTATACATGAGCATGATGTTAAACTTTAAGTAGTTGGAAGGTTCATGGAATTCATAGGAAGCTCAGCCTCATTTACCTTTGGTTTTTCTGACTTTTCAGATTAATCGAAGGTAGGTTCAAAAGCCCTCTTGGCTTCTGCTTTATATAACTGTTTCTAAAATGTTAGAAACAGTTTCCCCACTTACAGAAACAAAATATCCTTATCATAATTGAAATTTTAGTTTATAGTCAGAATCTTTTCCTACTTCAAGCAAAACCCTGTCTGTGAGTTTTCATTGGCAAACACGTCATGAAGATAGTATAGAAGGTTGGGCTGACTGTAGCTGATCTGGGGCTGAAACGAAAGTGGTGATCAGTTCTAACTCTTTGTGGATGCTCATTGCTTCGGTTGTCATTAGCAGAGATTTACCCAGATGATCACTGCTGCCATCTTCCCATGTACAGTTTCATGCTAGCGTCACCATGAACGCGGCACCGTGGACTCTTACCTTTGTAAGAATATTAATCGGAAATATCTTGACTTCTTAAAATAATCAGCTGCTTGATTGCGACCAAGAACTCTACAAGAACTTCCCTCTGGTCATCTCTGAACGCTGGCAGCAGGAGGTCACGGAAACCGTTTACGAAGCAGTCAATGCAGACGCGGATAAAACTGAGGCCAGAAAGAGAGCTAAAAATAAGCAGCTTGGCCACGAAGAAGGTAACGGAGCTAACATGTCTCCATACATTTCTCATGCGGTGACTTTTCAGAATTTCTTGTAAAGCTGAAAAAGCATTTGGGCCATAAGGTATTTTCCAGTCAAGAAGAAAGCAGTGCCGTAAATCATTTCAGTTTGCTCTGGCTTGGAAGAGCTCAGCCCGGGCTCTTGAAGTCTTCAGTCTGTGGAGACAGGAAGCTGGGTTCCTTGAGCGCTTGGGAACTAGTTTAGAGGTTCCTTCTTGCACATTGAGTCAGGAGTGGGGCTAGTGTCACTGGGGTGTGCCCTGTGCAGTCATCTGGGCACCTGACCCAGTTTAGGGCACTGTTGTCATCACCTTGAGACTCCTAGTCATTTTTGAAAAAGGGGCCTGCGGTTTCATTTTGCACTGGGGACCGAGAAGTACATAGCCAATCCTGGTGAGGATCTTGTCACTTGTTAAGAGAGGTAAATGTCTCCCATTCAGGTACTAACCAGGCCCAACCCTGCTTAGCTTCCAAGCTCAGGTGAGATCGGGCGTGTTCAGGTGGTATGGCCGTAGACAAGAGAGGTAAATGTATAAAGACATTTCTATGACAAATAGCCTTTTACAAATTGCCAAACCAGGCCGGGGCGCAGTGGCTCACATCTGTAATCCTAGTGCTTCAGGAGGCTGAGGCGGAACGATCAGTTGAGGCCAGACGTCTGAGACCAGCCTGGGCAACATGGTGAAACCTCATCTCTAGAAAAAATAAAAATTAGCCAGGCGTGGTGGCGTGTGCCTGTAGTCCCAGTGACTAGGGGGCCAAAATGAGAGGATCACTTGAGTCCAGGAGGTCATCTGCAGTGAGCCGAGATTGTGCCACTGCACTCCAGCCTGGGTGACACAATGAGAAGCTGACTCACACACAAAAAAACCAAAATTGCCAAACTGTGTTTTTATGTAAATAATTGGATGCCCTACAAAATATAACATTGAATAGGAAACATGAATTTTAAATAAGTCATTCTTGATTCACTGAATATGGCCACTCTTGATTTTTCTACGATTTCATGCATTGTGGATGATTAAATTTATTGTAGTTGATGATTGTGGTAAGATATAATTTCACTTTCCCTCTGAGCAAATCCCTTTCGGGGTTAACCTTATCTAACAAGAACGACCAGAAACTCTTTCACTCTATTAATAGATGACTTTGGTGGCAGCATCTTGGTATAGGATCTGACAATTTCCCTGTGGCATTTAAAGTGTCTTTGATTCTAGATGATTTACTCTGTACATAAAAGTTGCTAGAAAACACCAGGTGAATCCTGCATTCTTTTAACTGTGCCTACCTCAGTGCTGCAGGGACACACAACCCTTGTTTGTAAGCGATGCTTTAGAGAACAGGTCCCTTGTGATCACACTGGGCTGTGTTTGCCACAGCAGATTTTACACAGGAAATTGATTCAAGGTGGACTTGCTCAAGGGAGTGTCTTGATGTCACTAGAATCTTCATGAATTGGATCCAGAACTATATATAAATATGTATTTCTATATATACGTTCATCAAAGTGTATCCTTTTAGTTACAGCCGTAATTAGAAAGTTTAGCAAATCAATGAATTTATCTTCGTATGTTAGTAATTCGTGCATGAGTAGGTCTTGGCTGACAATCTCAGAGGTCACTTTTCTAGAAAAATAGAGTCTAGGCTTAGATTTCTGAACCAAAAAAAAAAAAAAATTATACCACATTCGGCCCTCCACGTCCGCAGGTTCTGCATCTGTGGATTTGACCAACCATGATAAAAAATATCTGGAGAAAGAATAATGATGCAATAATAAAAAATGCAAATAAAAGCTCTACAGCAGGGATTCCCAACCCCACGGGTGGATGGCCAGTTAGGAACGGGGCCGCGCAGCAGGAGGTGCGTGGTGGGTGAGAGAGCGGAACCGCCCGAGCTCCGCCTGTCAGATCAGCAGCGGCGTTAGATTCTTAAAGGAGCACATAAACTCTATTGGGAACTGAGCACGTGAGGGATCTAGGTCACGTGCTCCTTACAGAATCAAATGCTTGAGGATCTGAGGTAGAAGAGTTTCAAGCCAAAACCATTCCCCCACACCCGTCTGTGGAAAAATTGTCTTTACAACACCAGTCTCCGGTACCAGAAAGGTTGAGAATCCCTGCTATACAAGGTAACAACCATTTCCATAGCATTTACGCTGTGTTAGGTAGTATAGGTCAACTAGAGGTGATTTAAAGTTTGTGGGAGGATGTATGTAGGTTCTATGCAAATACTACGCCATTTTATATTGAGGACTTGAACGTCTACTGATTTTGGTATCTGCTGAGGTCCTGGAGCCTATCCCCTGTGAATACCAAGGGATTTCTCTACTCACATTTTCAATAGATTTTGGAAATGCAAGCACTTTTCAGTAAAAACGACAACCCCATGCTTCGCCTTCACCACTGACCCTCCCTGACCCTCTCTCTCCTTTGCACTTTTCCTGCCTGTCTCCAAATGACCCAGCATGGGTTTTACTTGTTCACTTAGGGGCTGACACACTCACTAGATTGTAAGTTCTCTAAAGTGGGGGTTTTGTCTCTTTTGTTCTCTGCTGACCCCAGAATATCTGGAACACGCCCAACACCTGGGCGTTCATGTGATACTTGTTGAAGAAATGAGTGAGTGAGTAAATGATTTTGGCATAATCACCAAAGCCTTTAATCTAGACTTTAAAATTAACCTTTTTTTTTTTTGAGATGGAGTCTCACTTTGTTGTCCAGGCTGGAGTGCAGTGGCGCGATCTCAGCTCACTGCAACCTCTACCTCCTGGGTTCAAGGCATTCTCCTGCCTCAGCCTCCCGAGTAGCTGGAACTACAGACATGTGCCTCCATGTACGGCTAATTTTTTGTATTTTTAGTAGAGACGGGGTTTCACGTGTTAGCCAGGATGGTCTCAATCTCCTGACCTCGTGATCCACCTACTTCAGCCTCTCAAACTGCTGGGATTACAGATGTGAGCTACCATGCTCGGGACCACCCCCCTCACTTAAAAAAAAAAAAAAAAGACAGTATTTCACTATAAAGATGTAATCAGGACTCAACAATGTATGTGAATTGTCTCTATACATATATATTTGAGGAATAAACCTAACATTAAGCTGAGGAATGAACCAGTTTTGATTTTTATGTTACCTTAATTGGACAAGAAAATTCCCACTCTATTATTATTTTTAAGATTAAAGGGGGAATCCTAATCCCACATAAAGACAAAGGTACTTTGGGGATGGCTTGACTTTAAATACTCTCTATTCTCCAGTTCTCATCACACATAATGAAAAGAGTTTGGAAACTGACTATTGCCCTCCCAGAGCGATCCATGGGCATCATGGATTTATCAGCATATTGCAAAGCAGCCATTACTAAGTGGGCAGAGAGAGCTGCAGAATCCTCTGATCTTTAGATCCCCAGTGCACGTGCATTTAAAACGAAAACCATGACTTCTGTAATGTGCTATATTTGTAGAAACCTCCTTTTCCTAAAAAGTATGTTGATGTTTTTTCAGAGAATAATGCTGCTATGACATTTTGTTTCAGAGCCTGTTTAACTCCTAGTTACTTTGTATTCCTCAGATTACGCTCTGGGGAAGGACTGCATTATGCACGGGTACATGCTGAAACTGGGAAACCCATTTCTGACTCAGTGGCAGCGTCGCTATTTTTACCTCTTTCCAAATAGACTTGAATGGAGAGGAGAGGGAGAGTCCCGGGTAAGTCTAAGGCAGTCTCATCCAGCATGTCTCCCAGTACGTACAATGGCATATGCTGATTTCATGTTTTATAAAATAGCCTCCAAAACTCTGTGTATCTGTTTTACTGGTGTACATGAGATGGTAGTGTGCATGCTTTAACTTCTTTTAAACTTTAAAGTCAACTCCTAATCAAGGGGGAACTTTGTAATTTCTGAAAATAGAACATTTTTTTGGTGAGGTCAGAAGCACCACATCATCCGATGGATTTGAAGAAGGCTGGAGAGCAGGTAGGTGGATCTAAAAAGAAAAGACAAGCTGGACTTTGAAGTCAGACAGACGTGTTCGGATCCACTGCTGGGTGTCTCTGGGACTCTGAGCACGTCACACTGACTCAGCCTCCGCTGTCTCCTCTGTGAAATGAGGGAATGAAAATCCTAACAACAGCAGTCAGCCCTCCATAGCTGCAGCTCCTCATCCTGGGATGCAAGCAACCAAGGAGAGAAAATATTTGGGAAAAAAAAAAATACAACAAGGAAAAGTAATACAAATAAAAAACAGTACAGTCCAACAACTATTTACATAGCATTTACGTTAGAGGCGATTTGAAGTATACAGGGGATGTGTGAAGGTTATATGCAAATACGATACCCTTCTATGGCAGCATGTGGAGCATCTGTGGAGTTGGCTATTCTCAGGGAGGTCCTGGAACCAGTCCCCCATGGATATCAAGGGATGACTGTACTGTAATTTTTGCATGTTTATCTGAGGTCAAGTGCTGAAAACAAAACAAAACAAAACAAAATCACCATTTCTTTAGGAACCTTTCAGCATCCAACCCTCATTTTATAAAGAGGAAAGCAGGCTTAGAGGGGAAAGTCTGCCACCCCAAAACACAACTGGACAGGTAGGAGGTGGAAGGGTGACTCAGACCAGGTCTCCCTGTACCCTGAGTCTCCCCATTGTACAGCCTCTCCTAGTTGGCTCAAATAAAATGTCCCTGGCCATGACACTTGGCACAGAGATGAGGTCACCAAAAGGTGCGCCCTGTGTGTTCACCTTGTTGGGAATTTGTCGGTGGATCATACGATAGCAAGATGTGGCTGCTCTTTGAGATCCTTTCCAGAGCTAATGTTTACGAACAAGATAGAAAGAAATTTCCAATCCACACGGTACCTTTCGGCAAATCAGGCAGCATTTATTAAGCGCCTACTGTGTGAGGAGCCCAAGGCTTGTCACCAAGGAAGGAGCCAACACTGGCAGAAGGCATCTTTTCTGTTTTTGGGGGGGAGCCTGATGAGTCATTGTAGGCAGGGTAATGGTCCTACACATTCAGAACGTCGTTATGTGTTGGATATGTTGGAATAATACAGCCCATCAGTTCTCCAGGGATCAGAAGTGTGGACAACAAGGCCCCTAGATCTCATGTATTTGGCTTTGGGCTGTATTTCTACAGTTTACTGTCAGCACAGTTTCCATTCAATTATGAATGATTACAATTGCATATCACTCCATTTCTTGGAAAAGAAACAAGATCTTCCCATCATCACTCCTGCCATAGAAGTTATTTTTGAAAAATTAGAATCTAGGATCTTAGTTCCAATTAATAAGATTCTTTTGGGGATCCTGAATTGTAACTCAGGGCTGGGAAGCATCACAGTAGCTCCCCAAAGCTCAGTGTATTTCCAGGTGATGAGTGGACCTGGGCATCTGATACATTTATTATGCTACCCACCGGCGTGTCACTGTTGTGCACATTAAAAAGAAATCACCCCACTTTTCAGGATGTTTGAAAACTTTAAAAAAACTTACCTTTGTTTAACATTGGATGCAATAAATGAGCTTGGTTTTAACAGATGCAACACCGAGTGTTCTGTTTGAATACCTACATAAGAGGCAGAAGCAGATTTGTAAGTCTAGGTAAGGAAAAAGAAAACCTGAGTGGCTATCAGGGTATCGTTTCTCAATCAAGATTCCTGGAGTATTTATATTAAAAAAAACAAAAACAAAAACATCAAATGGTCAGGAATTCATGACCTAAGCATTCACCTTAAGCAGTAATGCCATAGAGCTAGTATTGACAGTCTTTTAAGGAAACCATCTCTATTCATGACATCACTGGAATACCATCAAAATGCTGTTCGCTTGCAAGCTGACATCACTAAACATTTGCTGAGTTGCTGCCTTAAAAATGAGCTATACAACTTTGGCTCACAGAAATCATAGGTGGCCATCTTGCTTCCTCACAAGGCTTTTTTTTGTTTTGTTTTGTTTTTGAGATGGAGTTTTGCTCTTGTTACCCAGGCTGGAGTGCAATGGTGCGATCTTGGCTCACCGCAACCTCCGCTTCCTGAGTTCAAGCAATTCTCCCTCCTCAGCCTCCTGAGTAGCTGGGATTAAAGGCATGTGCCACCATGCCCAGCTAATTTTTTGTATTTTTAGTAGAGACGGGGTTTCACCATGTTGACAAGGCTGGTCTCGATCTGTTGACCTCATGATCCACTCGCCTCGGCCTCCCAAACTGCTGGGATTATAGGCTTGAGCCACCATGCCCGACCCCTCACAACTTTATTGATAGAATTTATTGGAGTGTACCATACAAGTATGCCTGTGTTTCATCATCATTCAAAACCAGTTCTGTGTGGAGAGAACAGCATTGCTGTTTTTCCTTAGCGAAACGTTGCTTTCTCTGCCGTTTTCCTTGAAATGTTGATTTGTGTGTGTTCCTTTACAGCCATTCTGCCCTCACTTCTGGAATATCATCAAAGAAAGAAAAATGGATGCCTTTTCTTTTTTTACTTGTTCTAACTTTGGTAGTTTTTGGTGTTGCTACCTAAGAAATCACAAAATAATTTGAATTTTGAATTTCTGTTTTTATGGTTAGCAAAATTTACTGACAATGGAACAGATTCTCTCTGTGGAAGAAACTCAAATTAAAGACAAAAAATGCATTTTGTTCAGAATAAAAGGAGGGAAGCAATTTGTCTTGCAATGTGAGGTGAGTTTTTGTTTTTTGTTAGGTGAATGTTAGAATAATTACATATTCAGCAAAGTTGGATGCCTGGCTATAAAACATTTTCTTACACCATGTTTTATCACTTGCAACTTATAAATTTAGTAAGAAAGCCTCAAGGTGTACAAGGTTTTCAACAAATTGATTTTTTTTTTTTTTTTGAGACGGAGTCTGGCTCTGTCACCCAGGCTAGAGTGCAGTGGCTCGATCTTGGTTCACTGCAACCTCCACCTCCCGGGTACAAGTGATTCTCCTGCCTCAGCCTCCCAAGTTGTTGGGATTACAGGCACCTGCCATCACACCCAGTTAATTTTTGTATTTTTAGTAGAGACTGGGTTTCACTGTGTTGGCCAGGCTGGTCTTGAACTCCTGAAATCATGATCCACCTGCCTCGGCCTCCCAAAGTGCTGGGATTACAGGAGTGAGCCCCTGTGCGCAGCCTAATCGTTATTTTTGAAAAAGGGAAATATTAGAAGATGGCAGGAGGGCCGGGCGCGGTGGCTCACACCTGTAATCCCAGCACTTCGGGAGGCTGAGGTGGGCAGATCACGAGGTCAAGAGATCGAGACCATCCTGGCCATAGCCAGGCGTGGTGGCACGCGCCTGTGGTCCCAGCTAGTCAAGAGGCTGAGGCGGAAGAATCGCTTGAACCCAGGAGGCGGAGGTTGCAGTGAGCCGAGATTGCACCATAGCACTCCAGCCTGGCAACAGAGCAAGACTCCATCTCAAAAAAAAAAAAAAGAAAAGAAAATGGCAGGAGGGCATACATGAAATAATGTGATTACCCTATCTGGAAAATCTGCTCAGTATTTAATGGGGCCTAGAATTTTATTTGTTCTATAACTTTGAAGATTTTTCAGCATGTTTAAAGTTAAGGTTTATATATTTAGATAATTATAAAATGGCAAACTGAAATGCCATCTTAAGGGAAATGTCGTCTCTCTTTTCCTCGAAGGTGCATTCTATCACAAATTTCATTTCCGGACAGCTTGTGACTGGAGTACTAGTGGACGTGTGTGGTTGGAGAGAACTTATTTAGAGCAACCAACAAGTATTAGATGCAAAAAATTATTTTTACTAACCTCATGACTACATTATATAAATGAGTATATATTTAAAAAAAATTTTAATTTGTCAAAGCTTTTTCCCCATATTATTATAGGCTCCAGTTGTTTTAGAAATCAAAAGTCATTTCTGAACAAATTAAAGGCAGTGATTCTCAGAGTGGGATTGTACTGGAATCATATGAAGGGTTTTCATGTGGCCTTTTGCTGCTCTTTTCAAGAGGTTCTAGAGAAGGTGGTGGCCTGACCCATTAGCTAGTAATGCCACTGGGGTGTGCTTCCTCCAGGGGTTCCAGGGATGCTGGTATTCAATAGAGACATCCACCACTGTTGGCAAAACGGGTGAGCCCATCACAATGTCTGCCTTTGTGTTCCCACTCAGAGTGATCCAGAGTTCGTGCAGTGGAAGAAGGAGTTAAACGAAACCTTCAAGGAGGCCCAGCGACTGCTGCGTCGCGCCCCGAAGTTCCTCAACAAACCTCGGTCCAGCACTGTGGAGCTCTCAAAGCCATCCCTCTGTCACAGAAACAGCAATGGCCTCTAGCACCTAGCAACAGGGAGGGTCCTTGAGGAGGACACACCAGTCTCTCATTTGGGGTGACACACCTCATTCATTTGGGGTGAATGAGGATGAGACATCTGATCTATTCACTACTGGGACTCCTCCAGGCTCCCAAGAGGAGTCGGGACGCTTCGGCTTGGGGTCAGCCCAGCTCCCTGCCTTGTCACATCTGTCTCCAGGCAAAACTACTGAAGAAATAAAAATTCTTTTTCTTTGCTACACACTTTGGTACCTATGAACCTAGAACTTGAAGTGACTCCTACTTACCACGTGAATTTTTATGTCTGATATCAAACACATCTAAGACTTTCCAGGCTGGACTTTGAAGATGTTCAGTGTGAGGTCACAGATTGCCCCAAGCATTGCCAACTCTTATCCCTACTCACTGCTGATTTTCTAGGTCTCTGCTCCGTACTACTGGGGGATGGGAGAGCCACGGTGTGTTTCTTTCGTGTACCTCACCACTGACTTCTTGTCCTGGGCTTAAAAGTTGAAGATATTTTCTGACGATATTAAAAGTTGAAGACCTTTCATCTCCCTCTGGGAGCTGCACCCACATGACTGCCCTGCCTCTGACCAGTCTGTTCCGGGGCCCCCTCAGCCAGGTGGGAATGACAGACACGTCATCTCCAAGTGGATGGGAGATGATTAACTAATCATTGAAGGCATTCATCCGTCCATCGTTGGAAAGATTGACACTGATTCTGAAGGACAGGCAGTGGAGTTTTAGGTTTCAGGGGCATAGAGCATTTTTCAAAAGTCTTTGAGTCCAGTGCACTCAAGCCAGCAAGCCGTACCTGGTGTGCAGGAACACTTGTGGGTGAGTTGGTCTCGGGTCTCCACGATTAGCAATTGTGTGACAGTCCTTCTGGTTCCTTCTGCCTGACCCTGGGAGACATGTCAGGAATGGGTGTGCAAAAGCAGGTCTGTTTTACGTCTGACTATGATTTAAGATGAATTGTATTGAAAACATGCTGAAGAATGAATATGTCAAAATGGTTTAACTGTGTATGGACCTTCACGTCATCATCCATCCATCATGAATGAATGATGCTTTGTACTGGGCTGGTGTGCGGCAGTGAGGACCTCAGGACATAAAGGTTTTTTGCTGGGTCCCAGCAGCATCTGCCCCATGAAGTCTGTTTTCTCCCCCTGCCTTCAGGACCCATTGATAACCCCAAACAGATGCTGGGTTGAGAATCAGTGAAGCCCCCCGTGTCATCAGTCTTGAAAGAAATCATTTGACAAGTCCACCTATTTGTCCCATTATCGGAGTGGTGTTAGTGTATGTCTTTACTAACAGTATAAATAACTTGACATCAGAATTGTCCTTGATATTTTTAGTGGTTCCAAATTTTTGTTTTTATACTTATGTGCTGTCTTCATGGGCAAAGGAAGTACTTTTTAATGCAGTTATTTTGAGAGTTTGGATGACAATTTACCGAAAGGGTCCTTTGTTTCATAAGAGTTACTTTGCAAAAAAAAAAAATGTGGGGGTTTGTTGTCTATCTCAACTACTAGTAGGGGCTTAAATTAACATACATTTCTACTATCTGTTATTTCCAGTGTGGGAGGAGGGACGTACTGCTTATACGCATTCTCCTTATTTAAAAGGGAAGAATAGTATTCACATTCTGTTTAAACACACACACACACACACACACACGGCAGGAGGGACGTACTGCTTATATGCATTCTCCTTATTTAAAAGGGAAGAATAGTATTCACATTCTGTTTAAACACACACACACACACACACACACACACGGCAGGAGGGACGTACTGCTTATATGCATTCTCCTTATTTAAAAGGGAAGAATAGTATTCACATTCTGTTTAAACACACACACACACACACACACACACACACGGCAGGAGGGACGTGCTGCTTATACGCATTCTCCTTATTTAAAAGGGAAGAATAGTATTCACATTCTGTTTAAACACACACACACACACACACACACACACGGCAGGAGGGACGTACTGCTTATATGCATTCTCCTTATTTAAAAGGGAAGAATAGTATTCACATTCTGTTTAAACACACACACACACACACACACACACACGGCAGGAGGGACGTACTGCTTATATGCATTCTCCTTATTTAAAAGGGAAGAATAGTATTCACATTCTGTTTAAACACACACACACACACACACACGGCAGGAGGGACGTGCTGCTTATACGCATTCTCCTTATTTAAAAGGGAAGAATAGTATTCACATTCTGTTTAAACACACACACACACACACACACACACACACACACGGCAGGAGGGACGTACTGCTTATATGCATTCTCCTTATTTAAAAGGGAAGAATAGTATTCACATTCTGTTTAAGCACACACACACACACACACACACACACACGGCAGGAGGGACGTACTGCTTATATGCATTCTCCTTATTTAAAAGGGAAGAATAGTATTCACATTCTGTTTAAACACACACACACACACACACACACACACACACACACACCCCAGAAGCAGAAAAGCCATTGTTCTTAAAGTGTGAATGTTTTTCCAGCCCTGGTTAATTATAGCTGTGACTGGTGCCATTCCTGTCTGCATCTCAAGCTCGTAGGTTCTCAGCACGTGCAGTTGATTGAGCAGTGGGCCTCATGCCTGTCCTATATCTCCAGGATAAAGGGTCTCCTGTTGACTCCACCAGGGCCTGGGCTTAGCGTCTGATATCTCATACCTAGGGCATGAGCTGCACAAACATATTGAGAAAGATTATTCCCATTCTTGTTCTAAAATTGAGCCAATCCACATCTCTTTCAAAAACTAGAATTTTTGCTCTAAGAGAATATAAGCCTCATCTCTCTTTTAGAAAAGATACACGAATTGGAAAATACCCTCAGAGTCCTTTTCCCTCAGACTTACTCCAAGTAGCCTTTGACACTTTCCCAGCTCACATTTGCTTTGTAATGATAAGGCTGGCGCATCTGGATGTCATTTATTAAACGTACTTTGTGAGATTAGGTTGAGCTGCTTCCGAGGGTGGGCACCAGTTGTATTGCGGTCTGGTTTGAGGATCCGTGAGGGGCCTGTCTTCTGCCAGCATGTTGCGATGGGGGTGTTTCTGTGACAGACAGAGGATACCACTGTGCCTGCACCTGGTGCCTGCGTGGCTAGAAGGGAAGTCAGTTAAACATCTTGGGATACTTGGCTGTTACTTATTTTTTTAATTTTGGGAGTTAGGGCCTTGCTCTGTCACCCAGGCTGGAGAGCAGTGGCATGATTGTGGCTCACTTTCAGCCATGAATTCCTAGGTTCAAGCAGTCCTCCCACCTCAGCCTCCTGAGTAGCCAGGGCTACAGAGGCATGCCACCTTTCTTGGCTAGTCTATTTTTTGGGTAGAGACGGGGGTCTTGCTATATTGCCCAGGATGGTCTTGAACTCTTGGGCTCAAGCGATCCTCCTCCCTTGGCCTCTCAAAATGCTGGAATTAGAGATGTGAGCCAACCACGCCCAGCCATAGGACTTGGACGTTTTAGAAGGTTTTCCAAGTGTTACATGATTCCTAGATGTTCACCCTTCTTACACTCCAACCATTAGAAAGGACAAAATTCAGCCCCCATTTTTTCATTATTTTAGATTTCTGTGGTTGGGATATTTTAACATTGATGAGAAAAATCATTGAGGTTGATATTTTATTTTTACAAAATCATGTTGTAATAAGTCTTGATTTCATGATTCAAAAGAATCAATAAAGCAAAGCCTATAAGTAACAGATTATTTTAAGCTGCTATGTAAGATACATATGGAATAAATTGAAAACTTTTGTGAATTCAGGTTTATTATTTTTGACCTAAAACATTCTCTTTGGTTCGTGTATCCCCTCATGTCATGGGGGGCTCATTGGTTTTCCTCCTTTGTCATATTTAAATATGACTTTCAACAAAACCCCTACAAGTCAGCTTATTATTTCAACATGAATGCAAAGTGCTCGTGCCTCTGATGGGTCCGTTCACTGACATAACAGTTGCAAAGCCTCTGTATAAAAAGAAGGGGCCAAATACCCAGCAAGATGCCCCGAAGGAAGGAAGGAAGCATTCTGCTCAAGACAGCAGCAGCAACAAACAACAGTCTGCTCGTTACACGCAAGACTCAGCTTGAGTTCTGGTCTGACATGTGCCAGAAGGATATTAAGACATCTTTTAAGGCCACATTGGCCATCTACAAAGTATTGTTTACCAATTGACGACAGGGATTTAACTAGATTGAAAAGACCAGAGTGGTTTTCCTCTGCTTTTTACAATTTCACTCCGAATTTGTAGCTGGGCCAATTCAACACATTTTACTTGTCAGTGGAATTGATTTTTCTGATGTTTCAGAATTTTAACATGTCAAGAAGAAAACAGCCTTTTCAGAATCTGGCCTTTCTCGCATGATGTAAATCTGTAGAGATGCTTTGAAAGTGCTGGTGGAAGACAAGAGTGGTCTTGTATGATTTAATCATAGGCAGCAAAGTCTCGGAGATGTTCAGGGAAGTGCCTCTGGGTCATTCAGAGAGATGCTTGATGAATTCACACCCCCACCCCGAATGAGGGTTGACTTGTGGAGATGATCTGGGCTTCGTTGGGAGATGACAGGTGGAGGCTGGGCGGGTGTCACAGAGAGAACAATAGTAGAAATGGGGCGAAGGAAGAAAGAAGTTGCTGGTAAAAGTCATTACACCATAAAGCACCAGGGAAATGACTGAGTTAAAATAGGTGAGGTTTTCCCCTATAACAGGAGATTGTTCCTTACACTAATTATTCTAAGACTTGGTCACTCTGTTTTTGAATATGGAGCTGCTGAACTCGTTTGGAAGCCATTTGCTGCCTATCAGGACTTTCTGAAGAAGTTCTTTTGCCTCTACCTGCCCTCTGGCACCCTTCTGTGAGGGCACAGGGGACCCAGAGCTAAAGCAGTACCAGGCCATCTCCAAAACACTGTATGTGCATCTTGCAGCCCCCAAGGTGGAGAGGTGGTGTCTGGATCACTGTGAATGCATGACCACTTTGGTCAATTTGGGACATTGTTACAAATCCATTGACATCCAAGTACATCTTTCAGAATAGCAGGCCCCTTCTGTTCTGCCCTGCTCACCCTAACAGTGAGTTACCAGCCTGGGCAACACAGCAAGACCCCATCTCTACAAAAAAAAAATTTTTTTAAGTAATTAACTAACAGTTAAATTTTTACCTAGAGATTTAACATGATTTTTTCCCTCCTATGTAAAGTTTACTGGAGAGACTTGAAATAATTACTTAAATTCATGTTAATATGATTTTTTTTTTGAGACAGAGTTTTGCTCTTGTTACCCAGGCTGGAGTGCAATGGCTCGATCTCAGCTTACCAGAACCTCTGCCTCCTGGGTTCAGGCAATTCTCCTGCCTCAGCCTCCCGAGTAGCTGGGATTACAGGCATGCGCCACCATGCCCAGCTAATTTTTTGCATTTTTAGTAGAGACGGGGTTTCACCATGTTGACCAGGATGGTCTCGATCTCTTGACCTCGTGATCCACCCGCCTCGGCCTCCCATTAATATGATTTTTTAAAAAAAAAAATCCAGATCACATTTTAACAAAGTGTACTATGGAATGAATGACATTTCCACTCTAAAATGGTACTCCTTGGCTTCCTCAAGCCATAATGAACTTTATGTTTTCTTTGTCCCTGAAGACTAAGGTAGCTGTTTTATTTTAGCAGAGTTATCAGAGATTTCCGCTCCTGCAGGCTCCCACAGCCGGCCCAGTGGGGGTGTGTTTTTGACTTGGCTGTGTTAGCATTGATTGAGAAATTTCGGACCCCAAATTTTAAATTGCCTTTATTAAAAACAAAAAACCTATAGAAAATATGTTAAGAGTATATGCATTTCATCAAACACACATATAGGGAAAAAAATCCTTCATTTTAGAATGAAATAACTCAGCTTTGTATAGTAGAGTTAGCTCCCCGGTATCTAACCATCTCAAAGTCATCTCTGAAAACCGGTAACTATGCTTCCATTTTTAATTTTGTCCTAAATATGAGATGTCTTGGATGTAAGGGCAGGGAATGGAGGAATATTCTCAATTGTGTATTTGTATTACAAAGAACTTGAAATGTACTTTCTTAGTTGATTTTATTAAATGATGTACATATTATGTGTGGGTTATAAGCTCAACACTGGCCATTTTTTTAGTTTTATTGTTAAATGGAATTTTTCTATGTTTAATTATAATAGCTTTGGCTCTTTCTGGATAGCGTAAAGATCACTGAACTATATATATATATAAGAAACAAGAGTTCTATTTTAGCACAAAAGCATTTTATATTATTTATTGAATCCATCAGTTTGTTTTCATCAAAACCATTCCATTTTATTTCTGCTCCTTTTTATTTGTATAGTTTGTTATTTAAAGAAATGGCAGTCCTTCCTGTTCTTAATACAATAAAATTGAAATAACGCACGTAGCAATGTGGGTCAACATCTCTTCTCACCACCATGGACGGTTCTCAACAGCTGATCTTCTGGTCCATGCTGAGGGCCGTGTGCATGGCTTCCGTCACGTCGGGCAGCAAGCTTGTTGTGAAATACTGCTTTCATCTACCTCTTTGGAAAGCTTCTTGCTTGTTGACAAGCACCCCAAAGGTTTTATTCTAGACTGGCTATCTCGTAAGAGCATTTCTGTAAGACTTTGCAGTGTAATTCCCTTGGAACCTAGGTTTGTTTCTAAAGCCACGGTATTGTCCAGGAGCCCCTGCCGCGGTGTGCGCGGGGCGGGTAGCTCTCCCCTCCCATGTTATTAGTGATCCCTTAGGACTGAGGTACAGCTGCACAGCATCATTGATTCCCCTCATTGTGTGAAATCCCCACCATCAGCCTTGCCATTGCCTTAAGATTTGATGATTGCACCTGATTACCCAACCACGAAATAGAAAGGCCACCTTCATGCTTTCAAAAAGGCAAGGTGCATTTAGAAACACTCCTTTTAGGAGTAGCACATTTGAGTGTGACATCCCCGATCCCACAGTCACTATTTCAAAATCGTTTCGAAAATGGGGTCTTAAAGGTAAGCGCCCTCATGCATGACTAAAACTTTGTAAGAGGTCTTTATATGAATGGACCCTTGAGGATTTATGTGAAATAGAATGAAGTCCTGTCTCTGTGAGAGAACGTGCCTCCTCACTCATTTGTCTCTGTCTGTTTTCATAGCCATCAATATAGTAACATATTTACTACATTCTTGGCAAAGTAGAATACCCTTAAAGAAATCCGTTTTCTATTGTGCATTGCTATACAAAGTGAAGCCAGTGAACTAGATACTGTAAATCTAGATATTGTACCTAGAAAAATTATCATTGGTTCTATCTCTTTTTGTATCTATTGTGCAGGGAAGGTTTATAACCCCTTCTCAGTATACACTTATTAGTGCACGTCTGAAATAGCATCCCACGGGAGATACAGCTCCACAGCAAGGTCACCTGCCCTGTGTGGGGCACACCATCAGTTAGCACCACCGTTTTTACAGTTACTTTGGAGCTGCTAGACTGGTTTTCTGTGTTGGTAAATTGCTTATATAAATCTCAATAAAAAGGATCTGTACCAAGATATCTACTTCAGTGTGCTGTTTTTCCTGTCAATTAAAAGCTGCATTTCTTTACCAAGCTGTTAAGATACCAGAGTGACTGACTGGAAAGAATCCTGACTCGTGGAAATTCATGCAAAGGCTGATTTTATATAGAGGAGGAAGGGGTCTGCCAAAAGCATTTCTGCTAATTTGGTGGAGTGTTGGAGCATCACTGGTTTCAGGGTTTCGGGGACCAGCGCTTGTACCCCCTGAATAACACACTGCAAATGAAGAGCCTGGATATCACAGGCGGTGAGGAAACACAATTGGTCTCTCTCATCTCCACTTTATCTAGAAGGTATCTGGTGCTTCCCAGCCCACCACTGGGGGAGGTTTGGATTCCCTCCCAGAAAGTAAGACCCCTTGGAAATTTCCTGCTCCCATGGAAATGTGCTGGGATCCCCCCGTAGTGCCTGTCACTATAAACCAGAAATCCAAGGTGGCAGTCCCCAAGCCATAGCAGTCTGGGCATGACTGTCTGCCTGTAGGTCCGTGGGTCAAGGGCAGGCTGGGTATCTCCTGTCTTTAAGTGGGAGGGGAAATACATCTTGCTAGTTCAGGAAAGAAGGAAGCCACGGTTGGCGCATGTAGCCACTGAGTAGCCCTGGAGTATATTTGTGCTTGCCACTTTGAAAACCATTTTGAAAAATAGTCGACGGGGGACCCAGCTATGGAGTGTGTAGCCAGGTCCATGGGGAGAAGGTGACAGCCATCGTGGTGCCCTTGGTCTAATGTGTTACGTAACCGAGGGCAGCTGGATATTGGAGTTCAAAAAACCAAGCACTCCAACCCCTCCCAAGAGCTGCGGAAATCAAGTCACTCCCTTGGGAGCCAGAAGGTGGGGAAATAGCATCGGCATCTTAACTCCCAGCATCATCCCTTTGGACAAGCTCTTTGGCCCTTAGTTTTCTCACCCCTGTGTTATGAGGGTTAAATTAGAGGATACTGAAAGGTCATCCAAGCCAAAAACATCCTCCGTCTCTGACTAGAGGTAAGTGACGTGTTGAGGCTGCAGTAAGGAAATGCTCTCCCGAGTCCTAGGCTCCTCCTACATTGCATTATGAGTAATGATGTTAATGTCCCCCTTTAAACTGTGAGTTCCTGGATGCCGGAGCCCCACAACTATGTATTGAATTTGAGAAGAGCCATCTAGCAACTGCAAGGCTTTCTGTCCCTGGGCACTTTTACCAGTTTGGATATTGGAGTTCTAAAAAAAAAAAGGTTTTAAGGCCAGGCATGGTGGCTTATGCCTGTAATCCCAGCACCATGAGAATTTGAGCCCAGGCATTTGAGACCAGCCTGAGCAGCATAGCAAGACCCTATCTCTACAAAAGAAAAATAAAAAACTAGCCAAGCATGGTGGTGCATGCCTATGGTCCCAGCTACTCTGGAGGCTGAAGCAGGAGGATTGCTTGAGCCCTGGAGGTGGAGGCTGCAGTGAGCTGTGATTGCGCCACTGCACTTCAGCCTGGGCAACTGAGACCCACTTTAATAAAAAAAAGTTTCTCAGCCAAATTATTCGGGCTATTTCCAGAGATCAGATTCACCAAATAAAACCTTCAGCTTTTACTTTGTGCTCACATATACAGTTTTGGACATGCACATAATTAATGAAATCCATGAGGGGAAATGTAATGACTCATTTTTTTTGTTTTTAATGTTTAATTTTTGTGGGTATCTAGTAAGTGTATATATTCGGGGTACATATACAGGCAGGCAATATGTAATATCCCATCAGGGAAAGTGGGATATCCATCACCTCAAACATTTATCCTTTCTTTGTGTTACAAACATTCCCCTTATATTCCTGTAGTCATTTTAACATATATAATGAATTATTGTTGTCTGCACTCACTTTACGGTGCTATCAAATACTGGATCTTATTTATTAAACTAGGTTTTTGCCCCCATTGACCATTCCCGTACTATGCCTCCTAGGCTCTGGTAACTATCATTCAACTGTATCTCCACGAGATCGATCGTTTTAATTTTTAACTCCCACAAATGCATGGGAGCAAACAATACTCGTCTGTCTGTGCTTTGCTTATTTCACTTAACATAATGTCTTACGTGTCCTTTCATTTTGTACATGTTGTTGCCAATGACAAATGACAAGGTCTGTTTTTTCTTCTTCTTTTCTTTTTTTTTTTTTTTTTTGAGATAGAGTCTGGCTCTGTCACCCAGGTTGGAGTGCAGTGGCGTGATCTCAGCTCACTGTAACCTCCACCTCCTGGCATTCAAGCGATTCTCCTGCCTCAGCCTCCCGAATAGCTGGGACTACAGGTGCACGCTGCCATGCCTGGCTAATTTTTGAATTTTTTTAGTAGAGACAGGGTTTCACCATATTGGCCAGACTGGTCTTGAACTCCCGACCTTGTGATCGGCCCACCTTGGCCTCCCAAAGTGCTGGAATTACAGACGTGAGCCACTACACCCTGCCACGACTGGATTTTTTGATACTGCTGCTTTTGGATAGTCTGTTTGCTTTAGGGAGAAGCAGATTCAAGGTGTCCTTTCCACCTGGTAGAGGTGAAGTTAATGTTGCCTCTTTGTCAGCTGGTCTAACTCGTAAAATTTCCTTTAGTGTTTCTAGGGCTTCCACCTTTCAGATTCCTATTGCCTTGAGCTGATTCTCGGCCAGGCCTGGAAGGTGAAGTCACAGGCACAAGTACCTGGTATTCAGTTCTAACTGCCTTTTTAGAGTGCACTTGCAGGGAGTTCCAAGGTTCATCATCAGATTTCAGAACTGGAGGTTTAAGCTTTTAGCCTCTTCACAAAAAATCAACATGGCAGAGGAGACCAGTAGTGAATGTGAGTCTTCGTAAGGTAACTGTAAAAAGGAGGAAGCCTTTTCTTATTCATTTGTATTCAGTGTGGTCAAAGTAATACTTGGTGGTCTTGTGTAGCACACGTCCGCCCACCACAGGTGCCAGGTGAATGGAGCAAATACTTGCCATGTTGACTCCCTGGGGACAGATAGTTCCCTTCAAGTCAACAAAACCTTCCTGCAGGTCATGGCCTCTAGAGGGCCCCAGCCCTGGGCCCGGAGAATCATTTCTGCATGTCAGCCCCGCTGTTTCAGACCAACAACCTCAGAAGGACAGTGAGGACAGGAGCTGATGGTTCAGGACCTGTGACACAAGGTGCGGTGGGCACCGGGGCGGGGGTTCGTGTTTCAATGTCAAATGATCTATCCCGATCTGGAGAAAACAGCTCACTGGGACCTGTCTCCAACCTCTTCCCCTGGTACAGCCTAAATGTCCCATGCCACTCTTTGCTGGGGGCCCCAGGGACCCCTCCTCAATCTTATGTATATTTTGTTTTCCTTTTTTTTTTCTTCAAAGTGTAGTTTCGTTCTTATCACCCAGGCTGGAGTGCAATGTAATCTCAGCTCACTGCAACCTTTGCCTCCTGGGTTCAAGCGATTCTCCTGTCTCAGCCTCCCTAGTAGCTGAGATTACAGATGCCCACCACCACACCCGGTTAATTTTTAGTATTTTTAGTAGAGATGGGATTTCACTGTGTTGGTCAGGCTGGTCTCGAACTCCTGACCTCAGGTGATCCACCCGCCTCTGCCTCCCAAAGTGCTGGGATTACAGGCGTGAGCCACCGCGCCTGGCCTAGACTGCCATTTTCTCAGCAGCCTTCCCTTAGTTTCTCAATTAACTTTTGATTGACTGCTAATTTTCAACATCCCGGAATGAAGTGAGTAGTTGGGGAAAATATTACTCGATGAGCTCTTGGGAAAGAGGAGCAACACCACGTGGGAATTATTGAAACAAGTCTCACAGGAGCAGTGTGTCATGCTGGGGTGATTGTAGTCTTTGGAACCAGAAAGACTTTGACTTGAGACATGACTCTACCCTCCGCTAGCAGCATGGACCTGCACGTTTATCTCATGTATTGAAATCTGTACTTTTCTCCTTTTAGGCAGTGGACAGAGCACTTTTTACAGCACCTAGTTTGCTGCTGTGTTTAAGATGGTTTCCTCTAGGGCCAGCTGGCTTTGAATTCTGGCTTTCCATGGCCTTGGGCAAGTTGCTTAACCTTTTTTTTTTTTTTGACAGTCTCACTCTGTAGCCCAAGCTGGAGTGCAGTGGTGCGATCTCGGCTCACTGTGACCTCTGCCTCCAGGCTTCAAGCAATTCTCCTGTCTCAGCCTCCCTAGTAGCTGGGACTAGAGGCACACTACATTTTTTTTGTATTTTTAGTAGAGACAGGATTTCACCATATTGGTCAGGCTGGTCTCGAACTCCTGACCTCAGGTGATCCGCCCACCTCATTCTCCCAGAGTGCTGAGATTACAGGCGTGAACCACCCAGCCCAACCGCTTAACTTTTTTTGTGCCTAAGTTTCCCCACTCGTAAAGTGGGGCTGGGGAAGAACCCCACCTCATAGGGAATGTTAAGTGATGTTTGTGAAAGCCCCGGGTGCCTGGGATGTGAGAACCACTACCTAGACATTAGGTCTGTTTACATGCACTGGTTGTTTACCAAAAGGCACCAGCATCTATTCAAGTTACTTTCTTTTCTTCCAGAGTCTGCCTGGCATGTAGAATCGGCCAATTCTCCTCCTCACCCAGTTCCTGCAGTCTCTGGTTATCTGTGTGGGCAGAGGTGGGAGTGTGGGTGTGTGGCCTGCTCTGGGACAGGGATGACGAGAGAGCATGTGCTTGTGTCCGGAGCTGTCCCCTTCCCTGCTCAGGGGCCACCAAATATGTCCATGGTCTCGGCTGCCTGGTCCATGGCCACCCTGGGCTGCCGTTTCCTGGCCAGACCTGGAGCTCACAAGCTAATTTTAGAAATGACTGGTCGACTCAGCTGCTGCTATCACATTGGCCCAGAAGGAGGGTGGGGGGAGGACGGGTCGGGGAGGGGCAGTAAGAGAAGGGATGTGTGTCTGTGTGTGTGGAGGGGTGCTCCTTCGCTCCTGCTTTCCCAGGCTGGTGGGTTCCCTTTGTGGCCACCTGGGGCGACGTCTTAGGCAGTCGTGGTTCCTGTGATCTGTGTCCTCTTTGCAGAAGGTACTGTTGGGCTGGGTTTTTGATGGGCACCTCGCGAGCTGATGGGCAAGTCTGAATTTTCAGGAATGTGCTGTTGGGGGCTGCGGTGGCAGGGCCTCCGGGGTTTGGTCTATTTTAGGCCTTTCTGCTGCTGAGAGCTTCCGAGGCCTGATGCCTCTGCTAGATGCCCGTGCTGCTCAGTTTGAAAACGAGAGTGTTTCGGCGGAAAGATTTTAGAACAAAATGCTGGGGCAAGTGAACATTTTTAAAAGTCCCTCTTCTCAGGACCAAGCCGTTCGCTAATAATTTTTAAAAACGCGTTTAGGGTCATGAGTTAATCTCCACTGTGAATCTTTGCCGGCAGACGTCAGGGTTTCTATTTTTCCTCAACTCCCAGTGGTTTCTGCTTAACTGGTGTTGGGTTACGGTCAGGGGAGAGCCCGTCTTCCCCTTTCATGTTGCCAACTCTGTTGAGTAGAAACGTCCATTTCAGTGTTCTCTTTTAAACTGCAGATTAAGCATGTGTGAGTGTTCGGGGAAGGGCAATGGAAATTCGTGGCAGAAGGTTTCAATTTCATGCTGCCTTCCTTGAGCTCTGTCTGAAGGAAGGTGTATCTGGCACCCCGGTTAGCGGGCATTTCTTTGAATGAAGAAGATTCACAGGTCTCAGTGGCCCCACAGTGGGGCAGAAGGGGGCTATACTTTGACGTGGAGCTCCCTCCCAGGAGAGGAGAAGACCTCACCAGCTACAGGCCTCTGGGCTGCTGCCTTCCTGCAGCTTTCCCATGGAGGAGGCCAGGAGTGGGGATGCCTGGAGTGGGGAGCCCAGGCTGCCCAGTCTGGCATCAATCAACCCACAGGTACAGGAGCCTTGACTTTTGTCCCGTAGGGCCTGGAAAATGAGGCTGTTACTTTCACTCTGTGGTTGTTTAGAAAGATGCTGTCTCATTCAGTGCACCAGCATGGAGGCTGAGTGGCCCACGAGGGCTTCTGGAGTCCAGTAAGGATGGTGGTTCCCTTGGGTGCTGTATCCATTGTCGACCTACGTTGTATTCTCCCGTGTCTGGGTACTATGTCCAGTGTGTACCGTGGGAACAGAAAACAGAGGGTTCTATGTATGATTAGGCTATGGATGAGTTCTAGAAAATATTAATAGTGAGGAGGAGAAAAAAAAAAAAAGGAGGAGGAGACGGAGAAGGAGGAGGGGGAAGAAAAGCAGGAGGAGAAAGAGAAGAATGAGGAGAAGAATAGCGAAGGAAAAGGCCAAGAGGCCAAGGGGTGGAGGAGGGAGGAGGAAGGAGGAAGAAGGAGGAAGAGGAGGAGAGGGAGTTTCTGGTCCCCTGGCTTTTGAAGGGCTGTATGTTACCAGTCAATAAATATTTGCTGCCACTTGCCTCCAGGTCTGGTCACCTTGAATATCCTGTTTGGGCTCTGTAACCTTGGGCGAGTCCTCTCCCCAGTTGGAACTCAGTTTCTCCTTCTAAAACCTGAGGGGGGCTGGGCGTGGTGGCTCTTGCCTGTAATCCCAGTACTTTGGGAGGCCGAGGCAGGCGGATCACCTGAGGTCAGGAGTTCGAGACCAGCCTGACCAACATGGAGAAACCCCATCTCTACTAAAAATACAAAATTAGCTGGGTGTAGTGGCGCATGCCTGTAATCCCAGCTACTCAGGAGGCTGAGGGAGGAGAATCGCTTGAACCTGGGAGGCGGAGGTTGTGGTGAGCCAAGATCGCACCAGTCAGTGCACTCTAGCCTGGGCAACAAGAGCTAAACTCCGTCTCAAAAAACAAAACAAAAACAAAAACAGAAAAACAAAAAAAACTCTGGGTGGGTTGCGTTCCACCACCTCTGAGATCTTAACTGGAATTCAGCGCCCAGGGAGGTGTTTCTTGAAGTGAAGGGTTGTTGACAACCTACCCATCAGACTCACGTGGGCCAAGGGTGGGGTGGGGGTGTTTTAAAATGAAGATTCCTGGGCTCATCCCAGACCTATTGAACACTCCTGGGGGAAAGGGCCCAGAAATTCACAGATTTGAAACTTCACAGGTGGTTCTGGTGCTCACCCAAATTGGATAAGAGCTTTTCCTTTGATTTGAGCTAACAAAACCACAGAAGGCTGTTGCCAGCACCTGCCCCGTCAAAACTCATGAATTTCTACATTTCGCAAACACGGACAAGCAGCATAGCACTTTATTAGGGTGTGACTGTTGCAAAGATTTTGCAGGGCCAGTGTTCCTCTGGGGGTAAGATCAGGACTTTCTGCGGCAGTTTGAGGAGAGAACGGAGGGCCTCAAGCTGAGCAGAACCACCTCGTGCTGCCAAAAGTCAGGGACTTGGGCCTGTGAGTCTACAAGGCCAGGGCGAGACAGCCCTTCACTGGGTCCTGGTAGGTACTAACAACTGTCTGAATGGCCCATTTTAAGCCCATGGTTGGCTGCTGTGGTGTGTGGCATGAAAATAAATGTGAAATTTAATTATTTGAAAAATGGAAGAGGTGGGTTTGAGACCAGGGAGGATCCTCCTCCCAACTCAGACTGCTGCCCAATCCAACCCCTCCTGTGACAGATGGTGCAGCTGAGACACAGAGAGGGGAAGCCACTTGCTCAAGGACACACAGCTCTGCGGTAAGGGTGTTGGGCTGAGATCAGCCCCTGCTGTCATGGCTGGTATTCAGGGAGCAACCAGGAGCCTCTTGGGTTTAGAAATAATCAAATCTGGCTGGGCACGATGGCTCACGCCTGTAATCCCAGCACTTTGGGAGGCTGAAGCAGGTGAATCACCTAAGGTCAGGAGTTCAAGACCAGCCTCACCAACATGGAGAAACCCCATCTGTACTAAAAATACAAAATTAGCCGGGTGTGGTGGCACATGCCTGTAATCCCAGCTACTCAGGAGGCTGAGGCAGGAGAATCATTTGAAGCGGGGAGGCGGAGGTTGCAGTGAGCTGAGGTCATGCCATTGCACTCCAGCCTGGGCAACAAGAGTGAAACTCTGTCTCAAAATAATAATAATAATAAACAAAATTCACCATGTTACCCCCTCGATGAAGACCTTAAGGAAAGGTTAAACCTCAGCTCTAGCTTGAATGGGGCAACAAAAATAAATTGCATCTTATTTTATTTTTATTTAGAGACAAGGGCTGGCTTCATCACCCAGGCTGGAGTGCAGTGGCACAATCTCTGCTCACTGCAACCTCTGCCTCCCGGGTTTAAGCCATCCTCCCATCTCAGCCTCCTGAGTAGCCAGGACTATAGGAGAGCACTCTGCCCAGTTAAGTTTTATACTTTTTGTAGAGATGCGGTTTCACCATGTAGCCCACACTGGTCTCGAACTTGTGAACTCAAGTGATTCACCCTCTTCAATCTACCAAAGAGTATGGATTACAGGCGTGGAACCACTGCACCTGGTGGAAAATGAACTTTGTTACACAAACAAGGCCCTGGACACCAAGATAGATTTCTTTAACATACACACATGCTCGCGCGCGTGCACTCTCTCTCTCTCTCTCTCATTCAGTCTGAAGGATCCAGAGACACCACTATCTTCATCTGAATCTCTCCTCTCCCAGATCATGACTCACCCAGCTTCATAATTTTCCCTGTCTGCTCCATTTTTCACGTGTTTCACCCTGATGCTGATTTACTTGTAAGAATTGCAGTTTCTGGGCCGGTCGCAGTGGCTCACGCCTATAATCCCAGCACTTTGGGAGGCCGAGGAGGGTGGATCACGAGGTCAAGAGATTGAGACCATCCTGGTCAACAAGGTGAAACCCCGTCTCTACTAAAAATACAAAAATTAGCCGGGCATGTTGGTGCGTGCCTGTAATCCCAGCTACTCAGGAGGCTGAGGCAGGAGAATTGCTTGAACCCAGGAGGCGGAGGTTGCGGTGAGCCGAGATCGCGCCATTGCACTCCAGCCTGGGTAACAAGAGCGAAACTCCGTCTCAAAAAAAAAAAAGAAAGAATTGCAGTTTCTGGCAACAGAGGAAAGATCCTTAGGAACCGGCAAAGTGAGTTCCCCACATGGCCAGGGCTCATGCGTAGGGTAACAGGAATTTGAAGGTTCGGGGTCTCAAGTGAATTTTTCTCTGCCTGTACGAGACTGAATGCATTTTCAGCTGTTTCTCGGGTACCAGCTGGGGTTTGAGTTTCAATTTCATGGACGGCAGCTGGATTAACTGTTGCGTAGAGGAGAGATGGTGGCTTGATGGGATTAAATGTCTCATTCACGCTTAATATTCCAGTGAGCTTGGGTATGAGTTATTAGCCCCATTTTAGAAGCCAGGAAGTAAGATTTGGAGTCTGGAGTGACCCCAGGTTATGCAAGGTGAAAAAAAACAAGACTCAATACCTTTGTGCTAGAGACTGGACTGTTCAACCCAATGTCCTGAAGAATATCTGTCGAGATAATAACTTGTGCAGCATTATTTCACGGGGACAGATAAGACAGCTTTTTCACGTTCATTACTAATTTAATCCGCTGATGATCAAGGCAGGGCAGTGATACAGTCCCAGTTTTATAGAGGAGGAAACTGAGCATCAGAGAGGTTTAGTGACTTGCTTCTCTGCCAACAGTGGATGGCTCATTTTCTCAGTTCTTTGTTACATCTAGTTATTATTCAAAGCGAAGATGATGTTGCCCTCTCTTTCTCTTGATGCTCCTTGCCATTTGTCACGATTCTTCCAGACCAGGGTTCTAGACCAGTGTCAGCGTAGGTGCTGTTGGTATTTGGGTTGCATATCTCTTTGTTGTGGACCTTTCATGTGCTTTGAAAAATGGTTAGTGGGCCGGGCGCAGTGGCTCAAGCCTGTAATCCCAGCACTTTGGGAGGCCGAGGCGGGTGGATCACGAGGTCAAGAGATCGAGACCATCCTGGTCAACATGGTGAAACCCCATCTCTACTAAAGATAGAAAAAATTAGCTGGGCATAGTGGCCCGTGCCTGTAATCCCAGCTACTCAGGAGGCTGAGGCAGGAGAATTGCCTGAACCCAGGAGGCAGAGGTTGCGGTGAGCCGAGATC